ATTAATAAATCGCGGCTTTCAGTGTCTTTCTCACGCTGTCAGTCGGCATTGTTGTCTTGCTGAGACGTGCTTGCTCTCACCTTTTATTTGTCTTTATGTCTCACCATTTCACAGTCAGGTGACTTTCTGACAATGCAGGAGCTGCGGCTCAGTTTGTGACAGAAATATTAAAAGCCCAAAGTGACATCGTGAATTTCTCTTTATTAATAGTCCAAAAATGCCCAAATATGACATTTTTGAATAAACTTTTCACACTTGTTGAATTTGTTTTTGATTGTGACATGAAGACAAATGCAAAAACCCCAAACTAACATAAAACACAAAGATAAAGAGATTGAAACAACAAAGATTTTAGACTTTTTGAGATTTTGAGCAAGCAAACAAATAAAACTCAGCAGAAGAAGGAGGTGCATCCACTGCACTATGTAGATGATATAAAACTTAATTAATTAATTAAATAATTAATAGCAGCAATCACTGATTTATCCCTTTGATCGATCTGTTGATCTTGAATGAGAGGTCAGAGGTCAAATGTGGCATGATATTTTAAATCCTTACACAGTACTTTCTATATGTTGACAGTAAACACCACACTTTTAAGAATTTTGACCAATAAATCCTCAAGTTGACCTTGAAGACTTTGGTGAATGTAAGCCAAATGTTAATGGATCCCCTCTGCACCCCTACAAAGTTTTATCAGAATTCATTAAACTCTTTTCGAGCTCTCGTGTTTACAGGCAGAATGACACACACACACATACAAACGTTGCCAGAAACACAACCTCTTTAGTGAAAGTGATAAGACCAGTAAAATTATACTTAAGTGGGATTTGGCTGAGTAATAATTCCAGTTAATTAAAAATAATTACTTTAAAACAAGAGGAATATGTTAAGATATTTACTTTTAAAGATTATATTTACACAACATGAGATTTGTAATTCGTTTGAGGTTCACAGTGTGGTAGTGAAAAAAAAATCTTATCAGACATCTGAAGGTCACTCGGCTCATTTTGAGGCTCCATCAGCAGCTTCAAGGCAACCTGGATCTCATTTGAACTGAGGGAAAGTGTAGAATAAAAAATGTCTAACTATGTTAAATGGGTCCCAGGCTCAATCTGGGAGTGGGTTGGGTATTATCTTTTAAACAATGGTCATGATCTGTCAGCCGTGTTCATACGCAACACACCTATTCAACAAGGATAGACACTAGGAAGAAGAAGCTTGAAAGACATCATCAACTGTGCTGCAGTTATTTTTCTCTTTTCCTTGAGGCAGGGCATGAGAGGTCACATTTTTTCCTCTCTCTCTATGAACAGTGCACAGGTTCCTGTTGTTTCTGTCCCTGGTTTTGATGCTGTCTGGTGCCAGCGGCTGTTTGATGATGTTGATGGATTAGGGCTTTGGTGCTAATGTGTAGTGCAGTGGTGAATTTGCGTGCAGTGCAGGACACGGAGACAGAACAGAGACAGAGCTGCTGCAGCATCATGCAACAGACAGGTGATGAGAACCAGGTAAAGACATGAGGACCGAAGGCTGTAGCTCGTCAGAGGTTGATTCTTTTTTTCTGTTTTCTCTGCCATGACTTAATTACACAGCCCTCTGCTGTCTTTCTCTAATCTTCAAAATTCACTTTGGATCATATGCATGCACTGAATTTGAATCTCTATTTCTTTTCGTAGCTCTCTTTTCCAACATTTTACCGATTGATCATTTTACTGATTTGTGTACTTTGACATATAAAATCAAGAAACCTGTATTGTAAAACCATATTGTTAAATATTTGCTGTTTTTTTAATAAACGTATGAAAATACGGCTTGTTTACCTGCCCTGTTCTTCCATACAGCGGAAGATGACAGAGGTCACTGTTATTTGTGTGATACATTTGCAGGCGGTGAAATTAGAAAGTAATCAGCAGTGACCTCTGTGATCTTTTGCTAGACTGAAGAACTGTAAAAGTATGTGAGTTCTTGTTGCCTTTAAAGCAGCAAAATGTGAAGGTAAATTGGTTTGCCCCGAAATAAAAACATGTTTTTTCACATTAGAACATTTTTATTCGTTTGTAGTGCAGACAATAAACAATCACAAACAGCTCACTGACGGATTCATTCCTCATTTTTAAGGTTGTAGACAAAGAAAGGAAAATAAGATATGTCAGTGTCATGAGTGGAGACCGTTTTATCTTTACTTGCAGCAGAAAATTCTTCAGTACGATATCTTTTTAGCACAGCTCTATTTTCTTGTCATATGTTTTATTTCTTTTACTTAATCCCCTTACCTAGGTTGTTTCCATCGTCAGAACAACAGAACAAAACTCTAACAACAAACATGGAGGTTTTTTTTTCTTTGTTAATTATTTATTCAGTAAATTTGAACAAATTTATAAACAATAATCTAACATTTCATAATATATTATCTTAGTGCCTAACCATCTGAGTCCTCTTCAGTCCTGCATTTCTCCCACACTTTCATGTAAAAAGGTGCCTCCTTTAGATTTCAGCGACAAAATCATCCTCTCTGTTATAAAGATCTCCCTCACTATGTTCTTCCATTGTTCACAACTTGGACAGACATTTGTGTGAAATTAAATTAAATTCTGTATTTAAAAAAGTGATAGGAAAAGATCCTCCTATGTGCTTATAGACTCGCTGGCCACTTCATTAGATACACCTTGCTAGTACTGGTTGGACACCTTTTTGAAGCTGTTTCACCTCTCATCCAAGAAGCTTCTTCAGTTCTAAGGTCAAATGGTGGAGAGTCCCAGATTTAAACCTAGCGGGAGTTTCCCCCCACAGAGGGACAAAAGGACCCCCTGATGATCCTCTAATTGCCTGAGCCAAGGTGTGAAATTGGGTTTGGGTCCCAATCAGCCAGAACTGAAGAAGCTTCTCAGATGAGAGGTGAAACGTCTTCAAGCAACTTAAAGAAGTCCAGACGCTTTTCTTTGAAAGCTCCTTTGACTACGATGACCTGGATGACTGAGAACCTTCACAGACTTTAAAATTTACATTCTCCCAGTTGGTACTGTCATAACGAATCATAATATATCCTACCACTCTTATGCAGATGATATACAGTTGTACCTATCAGTTTCCTCTGAAGATCTGACCTCTGTTTATTAGCTAATGAGCTGCATTAATGACATCAACTGCTGGTTGTCTCGAAACTTTTTAGAACTGAACAGAGACAAGACAGAAATATTGTTGTTGGTCCAAAAAGTCAGAGACTGACAGTCTGTTTGATCTTAGATGGTAATCTCACATGTTCACAAAGCTCCTCCGCACACTCCACCTCTCTGTTTTGCTTCTTTAGCTGAGAGTGCTTTCAGTTCCTGTAGTCCTGTTCCAAGCTTTCTGCTGACCTGAGATCAGTAACATCTGTGCCAACATTCAAAAAACAGACTCAAGACTCTTTTGTTCACACAGGTCTACACCTGCGTTTTTTAATGTTTTATTTCGCTGTTTTCATTGTCTTGAGGCACTGTAAACCTAAATGGAGTTTTGTATTTTTATCTTTTGTGCTACTCAGTTTACATATAATGAATTAAATGTATTATATAAATAAAATCCCCATTGCCTGTGCCACTGAACAGGTGTGTCTAATAAAGTGTCCAGTGGGTGTATGCAGATAGAAACAAGACGGTACCTTCAGTTGCTGTCAAAAAACATAACCTTTGGAAGAAATAATCGCAGCAGAACTCAGGAGAAGTTTTCCGTTGCAAAAACTTTCATCAGTTTCCATCTTCACATCACACAGAAAAACTTGTATGTAACTTACTTTAAATATACGTTTTCCCGCGTGATGCAAACTCTTGCAACCCGTTTTGAGGAGGTAATATTCAACCAGCTCTTTGCATATTAACAAATAACTGACAATACTTTGTTTCTCCTGCTGTTAGCTCAGGTTTTACGGGGCTGAAGGACAGGAGTATTAAGCTGTTAGTGGTGCAGCATTGTTCTGAATAACAGTTTGTGGTTTGTGGTGTTTAGTGAGATTTAAAATAACCTCCTCGACGATTTAGAGGCATCAAAGGTTTTCAAAAGCCTCCAGCAGTAACTGCTTGGCCACCTGCTATGTGGTATATTCATGTATTAATTATAAACTTCTATATCAGTCACGTTGTCATGTGGTTGTAGTGAGTCATGTATTGCAGTGGACTGGTTATGTGAGGCTGTTTTTTGTGTGCACTTGAACTGGAGAAAAATGAACTTGCGCTCTGTAGACGTAAAGACTTTTAGAGAAGATGTGGATTTTTGTCTTACCTTTCTTTCATTTCACCAGCACATAATTATGTGCAGTTAGCCGAGCTTTTGTCCTAGTTGGGCCTCATGGTTGGATGTGGCCGCTCTCCTTTCCTGTGTGAACATGAGACAGAAATGTGTGGCAGCCAGCTCTCTGTATGATTCAGTTTCTTGCTTTGCTGTGTGGTGGGATGCATGTGATCTGTAGGTTTCAGTTGCACACACCATAGCTGCAGCCGGATCTGCAGTATTTTACAGCTTCTACAGTTTTAACGAGTCCGGTGCAAGCTGACCGAATGTATGTGTGTGTGTTTGACAGCATGTGTGTAGGTGTCTGTGTAGTCATAGGTGTAAAATGCACACGCAGTCGGAAGTGGAACGTGTGGAATGTCCTCTCTTTCCGAATATCTTCCTCTGGCTTTTTTCCAGACCGTTCCTTTGCTCAGGGCGGGGATTTTCCAATCTCTATGCCCATTTTGTCTATTTCTGTCTGTCAGGCTATTCAGGTTGGTGTGTATCCCTTACATACACGCCACACATTCCCCATCTCTTTCTCGTTATCTCAAGACTCTTCACACTAGATCCAGTTTTATCCTTCTTCCAAGTCTCAGTTGTCAGAGGTATTTCGCCTGTTTTTCGTTCTCTCCCTCCTCTCCATTCTAGCGTGTTGTTTCTCTTCTGTGCAGCCCAAGAAACACATGATTTCTCGACTGGGTGCTTTTCGTTTCATAGTGATTGCCAGTGTGTCCCCTTGGTTACAGCTCTACGGAGAGTACAGGGAGCAGCTGGGAAACTTCGCCCGACGGGAGGCTGCCCGTTTACTGACAGAGAGACAATGGAGAAGACAGGCAGGGGACAATACCGCAGCCACAGGCCGCAAAGGCCACGGCCGGCGGCATCATCATCAGCACCCTGTGACCCTGGAGTCGCATCACAGCCATGCCTCCTCCACCAAGAAGCCTCGTCCCTACTCCAAATGCCAAGGTGACCAGCATGTGGTTATGAAAATGTATATGGAAACATTTGGCTGCTTTGCCACTTCCACACACTTTGTTGTTTTATTACATGACTTTTCAAAGAGTGAAGCTTTGCATTTGTCTAATGGTTTCAATTTCTGGTTACTTTGCACATTATGATTTTACATGCAACATGATGAGCTCATAAAATATGAGGCAGCACGGTAGTTTAATCAGGCTACACGAGGCACTTAGACTTAATACCACTTGAACTTAAGGGCTACTGCGATGGGGTATCTAAATGTAACCTACCCAGAGTTATAAAAAGAAAATCTCTAAAGGTGCAAGACTCAAAACATTTACCCAAATCTTAAGGTATAGAAGGTATTTTGTAGCTATATTTTGGAGGCTATAAATGCAGATGATTATGACATAAGAGGGACTTTAGAGTAAGCACTTGAAGGAGTTGTGCTCAGTATTGTGAACATGTGCACAGAGTTGAACTGTTGGTGTGTATTTATGTTGACATGGTGTCAGGGAGGTTGAGTCTCCTCTCTGACCTTCTTGCTGCTGTTTTAGGTTTTGCTGTAATGTCTATTTTGACTTTAATACATTTTGAGTGACTGCAGCTTTGTCTGAGTTTTTTTAAACTGACCTAGAGGGCCCCTCAAATCAGGATCCTCATCATCATTGTTTCAGCCAATTCCAATGATTTTGAGAAGGAAAATAAATATGCAGTTTGTATCAAGTGGGAGTTAGTGCAGGGAATATTGAGATTCTTATATTATAGGAGTGTCACCTCTATCTGTGTAAATAATTACACTGCTTTGACTTTGTGATCTTTCATGTTGCATTTGTTGACTATTTGACTGAGTTAATCTGTACTTATCAGTCTACATTTACTTTATTTACTGCATCTGTTTCATCCATGATCTCACTAAGTGACTCCCTGACTCTTTGATTTTATCTCTCTGTTCCAGATTGTTTGGCTCGTGTGCGGCGCTACATAGTGACAAAAATGGGAGAGGACTGGATTTTCCTGGTTCTTCTGGGACTGACTATGGCTCTAGTTAGCTGGAGTATGGACTATGCTAGTGCCAAGAGCCTGCAAGGTAGAGCTGTCATGGAGATTATTGCCATTTCAAATCTCCAGTTTTTCTCTGCACTGCTCCTTTGTGTAATGTGCTTTTTTTCCTGTTCTTGTTTTTTTCTGTTTCTACTGTTATTCTGTCTTGCAGCCTATAAATGGGTGCATGGGGAGCTTAAGGGCAATGTACTGCTCCAGTACCTCGCCTGGGTTACGTATCCCATGATCCTTGTCATGTTCGCCTCGCTCTTCTGTCACCTGGTTTCCCCGCAGGCCATCGGTAAGCCCTCCATCACCTGTCAGCCTCTATTATCCTCTCTCATTATATTTCCTCCTGTATTTGCTTCTTTTTTCTCATTTTGTCTATTGTAAAATACTGACATGATAACTTCTCTCTCTGTTTTTTAAATACAGGTTCTGGTATCCCTGAGCTGAAAACCATCCTGAGAGGTGTAGTCTTAAAAGAATATCTGACCCTTAAAGCCTTCATAGCTAAAGTCATCGGCCTAACCGCTGGCCTGGGCAGTGGGATGCCTGTGGGCAAAGAGGTAAACCCCCGTGTTAGGCAACATTACTTTAAAAACTATCGTGTTACATTACAAGATCAGTTGTGTTACAGTGTTTCCGACTGAGGAAACTCTTTAGAGTAGATCAGCCTCTACCGCTCTACTTCTGACTATGTTAACTTTACCTCATTTCAAAGCAAGTTGGTACTGGCAGCATTTCCTCCACCATAAAACAGGAACAAGCTTATTCATTTCCCTCAGAGTGACAGGTTTAGCACCAGCATCATTCATCTGCTCAGTTTGCTTCACTACCAGTGTTTTAGCTTACAGATGTTTTTTAAAAATATGACATAGAGCTCCTTGGCAGCTCAAATACACTCAATGATAATAATTCAAATACCTCAGCAATGTAACATCCACCCTGTCTGTCGTCACAAAAGCTGATCTTAATATTTGCACTCACCATAGGTTCTGCTGGATAATAGTGTGTAAGGCATAAACCTGATTTATCTACTAATAGGCGTCATGGGTGTTTACTGAGGTTAAGGAGCAAAAAGGGCCGTTTATCACAGACTTTTATACAACAGGGAACTTTTAAGAAACTTGTGCACTGGCTTCATCTTGCAGACCCAGGAGCTGCATCAGTCTACAGCACTAACACAACTGTAGGATTAGATACATTCCACTATGCATGCCAAGGATTCACAGGGATGTAGAAAAATATTATTCTTTCCTCACTGCAAAAGAGAAGGAAAATGTGGTAATATGTTAATAATAACACATATTTAAAAAACAGCTTAATAAGCGATTGTTTGCAAAACTAACAGGTTGTATTACTACAGACTCTAGCCCATTGCTTTGCATTGCATTAAATCCAGCACTGAAGCAAACACATATTTTCACCTCCTTACTACTTGTGTGCTTCTGTGTCTATCCCCACTCATTCAGCATCTTGTTCCACATCTTCAGTCCTTTTTCTGTCTCACTCTCCAACTGGGAGGGGGTAATAAATCATCTTCTGTCATGTTGTTCCTCTCGCCCTCTTCTCACGGGACTGAGGCAAATTACTCCAGTCCTCAGCAAAGAACCACATTCGTTTTCCTTATTACAGTAGCATGGAAAGTGTCACATCCAGTAATTACACAGTGATTTATCAGTTCTGATAAAATATGTCCCAGTTTAGACTCTCTGTTTTTACAGACAGCACTCTGTGTCTCTGTAGATAACATTACACGTCACTCATATCTGTGTCAGTAATGTCCTCCCATCACCCCCAGGGTCCCTTTGTCCACATTGCCAGCATCTGCGCCGCAGTGTTGAGTCGATTCATGTCCATCTTCTCTGGAGTCTATGAGGTAAGCTGAGCCCCTGACCAAAGCCGACTACATTACCCACAACCCCCCCATCTCTTTACTGACCACAGTCAACATGCTGATTTAAATGAAGAATGCAGTGTTTTTGTAATAACTTATGGTGTTGCTGACATCTTTGTTGTAATTACAGGGTTCCCACTATTTTTCTCATTATTTTTTAAAATCTGAAAAACAGAAAAAGTTCAGGTATTTCTAGATATGTACAATTATCTCATTTTAAATTTAGTGCCATTTATCTCAACATCCCTGAGAACCTTGCTTTGTTTCTTAAATGTTATCATAGCACCATGATAGACGATGATTGGGAGAGCAGAACGCTGTAACTGTAATATCAACAGGTCAGTGTTGAGCATTCATATCAGGGTCCTTGAACTTGAACCCTTAATTATAGAATTTTAAATGAAGCTACTTTTGAGTCCCTGAAATTTTTGAAAGAACTTTAACACTAATGAAAAAGTGGGAACCCCGTGGCTGTGTTTTGTCTCTGTCATCCAGCTCACGCCAGCCCCTCCCCGTTTCTCCCGTGTCTTTGTTTTGGTTCGCCCCCTCACGCCTCGTCTGTGTTTGTCTCACTGTATTAATAGTGTGACCGTTATGTCTGGCATGTGTATTAACAGTGACCTCCCTGTCTCCCTCTTTCCCTCCCCCCCCTTCCCTCCCCTTGGCTTTCTCATTCATCTCTGCATTCACCCTTGACCTTTAACCCAGAATGGCTCCCATAACCAGGACCTGCTGGTGTGTGCGTGTGCTGTAGGAGTAGCCACTTGTTTCGGTGCCCCGATCGGAGGCAAGTCCCGCTCTGCTCGCTCGGCCTCAGGTCTACGGTCGGCTTTGACCTCATCAAGAAACATCAGTTACAATTAATTTGGAGGTTAAAACTGGCCTCACATCAGTGTGCTGCACTACTTGAAAGTGAACCAAACCACTATTCAAACATTTATATTTAGAATCAGTATCAATGCTACACCTGCAATGGATATTTTAAAGGTGCTGGCTCTTCATTTGCATACATTTTGTGCTACTGAAACATAGTGTGTTTTCACAAGGTTATAGTCTGACACAATCCACATTTAAACTCTAGGAAATATGAAAGCAAAATCACGGAAGAGCTGCTTTTCTTTTCTTTCTGACTGGACGTGATGCAAAGGTCAGGATAAGAAATACAAATTAGCAGTCAGGGCCGAGGATGTAGAATAAAACAAATATGGAGCGCAGATCCACTTTGTTTTTGCTGACAACTGTGCAGATAATCAAATTGCCCTGTATGGATGTTTTGTATGGATGCCTCCTTAAATCACGAGGTGGCTTTTAAAGGGGGCACTTACTGTTCTGTCTTGTCTGTCATGAAAATATGACAGTATGATGTTCCTCAAACCTTTTGTTTGTACATGGTAGCAAATCAGAAAAATAGCTGCTTTAAAGGGAGGGGGATTGGAGCTAATGAGGCTTGTTTAGGAGCTGAGGGGCCAGCTAAATAAGATAAATAAGGATTAGTTTGCTCTCTCAGTCATGAAGATCTGCTCTAGTAGACTTCATTCATCCATCCATTTTTTTTCCCAACTATCCAATTAAGGGTTGCAGGGAAGCTGGAGCCCATCCCAGTTGTTGCTGGTTGCAGCTGCTTCGAACCCGTAGTCTTTCTGTTTGCTGTGAGGTGACAGTGCTACAAAACTGTGGCACCCCTCTGGCAGAGTACAATAATAAAAATATGGAGCAATAATAGGCTCCATTAAACACCACAAAAGTGACCAATGTCAGGTGAATATTGGATTTTGTAAATGTAGTTGGGATAACTGAATTTGAATCCCCGATGTTGATGTTGTTACGCATTTATCTGTGTATTATTGGAGAATCTTTACCTCATAATATAAAGTGCCCTGAGGCCCCATTTGTTGTGATTTGGCGCTAAATAAATAAAACCGAATTGAATTGAATTACTGCACAATAGCCCACAGTCAGTCGTTTATATGGTTCAGACAAATTTAATGAGAACTTGTGAATTAGCTGTATTTGCTAGAAGGTACATTAAGACTGAATTAGGCTAATTCAACTGCCTGCTGGCTTAGGCTTTATGTTTAGCATACATATATAAATATGGCATAAATTTTTCCATCTACAGTGCTGCGAAAAAGTATTTATCTTTCTTTTATATTTTTGTCATGCATAGACGTTTCAGATCATGCAAATGAAACAAACTTGAATATGAAGATAACTTGAGTACATACAAAATGCAGTTTTTAAATGATGATATCATTCTGAACTCAGCTTTTAAAACATAAATGTGGGTAATCACAGTTAATTCATTATTTAACCAAGGGGACAATTGCTAGGCGTGCTTGGATAGCTTTTTTCCCCTTGAAATATGAAATCATCATTTAAAAACAGGATTTTTTATTTACCTGGGTTATCTTTGTATAATATTAAAATTAGTTTGATGAGCTAAAACACATAAGGGTGACAAATGGGCAAAAAAAAAGGTAAGAAATCAGGAAGGGGGCTAATACTTTTCACTGCACGTTAACTCTCAGCAGAAAGACAAGAATTGCAGATTATTCCTTTAAAACTATCCTAAAAAGTTAAACAGCAGCTCATCATTCAAGGTCATGAATAATCAGTGGAAGTATTTCATGTGTGCTACCTTCAATTTTCAGTCTGCAATCAGTTGCAGGGATCTGTCTCCAAGGACAATGTGACCACTTGGTTTGCTTCCTGATTGCTTAATTGCTTCCTCAAAGTCTGTATACTCACACTGGCATGCGCCTCCTCTGCTTCATATCCTCGTGGTGTAATTTCCCCTCCTTTATAACTTTTCTAATCACACTCTAGTGAACATTATTTATTCACTTTATTCCAATTTTCTTTTCTGTCATTTCTCCCTCTGTGTCCCCCTCTTGTCCTCACCACCTTGATCTTTTTTTCTCTCCCCCTCTTTCCGACTCACTCTGCTGTCTTTCTGTCAACACTCATGTTTCTTGTTATTGTCCTCCCCCCCCCCCCCAACACCACCACCACCCCTCATCATCTCTTGCCTTTCATCCCTCACTCTGTGACTCACCCCTCCACCTTCCCCCCCCCTCTCTGTTTTCTGTGTCAGTAGAACCCTTATGGTTACACAGATATACTGACTGTTGGCTGTGCCGTGGGGGTGGGATGCTGTTTTGGCACTCCACTAGGAGGTACTGTACATCTTCCACACTGCCTCTCAGCCACAACCTCTGCACCAACCGTCCTCCTGTACTGGATCAGATTCTTAGACCTGTTTGTTTCCCAAAGGGGACACATTATGCTTGTCTTTATTTCTTTACATATATAATATGTCTGATTTGTGAATTATTGAACGTGAGCATTACTATTACAGTTACTGAAGACCAGTGACAAATATGCACTTAGTTGCCATTTTAAGAGATACACATGTGAGCAATCAAATAGCTCAAACAGGTCAGCCACACCTTCAGTGGAAGCAATATGTACTCTTACAAGGTACTCTCCTCCAAACCAGTGACTGTGACCACAATGATAAACGTTCTGCGTAATTTCATGGTAATATTTCCCCATCTCACATTGTAAATACACTTTTTAGGCCAAATTATGGAGCGGATTGATCTTGCCTAGCAAGACTAAACTTAGTACTTAGTGCTTCAATTTACTTACAGTAAAATTATCTCTGTTTCCTGTAAAAACCTGACTTTTTACCCCCTTATTGCAGTGTACATGCCCTTAAGTATTTGTAGTATTACACTGTAAATTCAAATAAAATATATTGAATTTCCATTTTTTATAAAGTGTTACTTGAAAGTTATAAAGAGTGTGAGTAATTCAAAGACTCAATACTGGTTCATATTAAAAATCAATAAATCCCCCTCAGTAACAGAGGTTAAACAGTTCAACGGTCCAATCAGCTGAAGTTAGTAAGCCAATAATTAAACTCTTCTAATGAAAAGCTTTGTAAAGATCCCAGTTTTTCGATAGATCATTTATTGAATAGGTTAATAATCTGTTTATTAATTATCAGTGCGAACAATCATGAGCTGAAGTACCAACCAAAGTACAAAAGTCAACAAAACATCGAATGCTGTGCAAACGTTTTAGGCATTAAAAAAAAAAAAGAGGAAAGTTTGAAAGATAATGCCATGAATAGTATTTAGTTAACTTTGACCACTTCTCAGCTTTTCAAGGTGCTTGTTGGGTAATTAGTCTGTCTCAGTGTCTCTTGTCTCTTCCTGTAATGCTGAGCTGAGGGGATTAAGGACAGACCGTCTTCTGCAAGGCTCGCTCTTACTGTCGAATGTGGCTCTTTTAATGACAGCGGCTTATTGTTTGGCCCTGTTGTCACGCTGCAGAATAATTTTGGGACGATTAAACTCTCCCCGAGGGCGGATGGGTGTGTGACAGATAAGAATCTAAACTTCTGAAATGCCTACAATTTTTGCACAGCACTATATTTAAGTCACTAGATGTATACAAAACAAACTAGAATGTATTTACTGCTGACATAATGTTGGTCCCAAAATATGTTTTTTAAATCTTTTTTTAGAAGCTTCACACAGCTTTGATTATTGTTTTATAGCTTCACATGCTGATTATGTCTCTGTTTGTGTGTCAGAGAGCGAGACTACATGTAAGTGTGTGTTTAGCTGCGTTTGAATGTGTGTTAACTCCCCGTGGTTCTCCTGGTGTGCATAATTACACCCTCAGCTTCAAGTGTTTTTGAATTAATTTTGTTGCTTTAACTCATAATACCGTCCTCTCTCTCTCTCGCTCCCTTCTCTTCCTCTCCTCTTCCTCCCCCTCATTTTCTCTCACTGCCCATCCTCATTGCTCTTCCTCTCTGTAATCCCTCCTCTCCCTCTGTCCTTCCTCCCCTTTTTTTCTGTCGATCCACCGTCACCAGGGGTGCTGTTTAGTATTGAGGTCACGTCTACCTACTTTGCGGTGAGGAATTACTGGCGGGGATACTTTGCCGCCACATTCAGTGCCTTCATATTCCGGGTGCTGTCTGTTTGGAACAAGGATGCTGGTGAGAAGCAGAGGAAATGCATATTCAACAGATACACACAAACTACTGAAAAAAAGACAGCTGAGCTTGCTGTTTATTAAAAGTAGCTGAATATGACAGCTGAGTAATACTTGCTTCTTTACATAAACCTGAAATGTTTCAATACATCATCGCAGTCTTAAAGCAGCCCAGCAGCCCTGTAGCCTAAAATCCCTACAAGCTGCATTCAGGTGACCCTGTCTCTTTATTACAATACTAGATATTTTCACATTTCCAGTGTAATTTTATAAATAATATATAACTCAGAAAGGGGTGATCATTACATAGCCACTCTTACCCAAACAGATTTTGGGAAATCTTCATCTTTTAAAGTCTGAAACCTCAGTTTCATGGAATTTATGTTAAAATATTACAGAAATGTGCCAGGGTGAATTTTTTTCTCTATTGCAAACATAACCAGTTAGATTAGGTTCGATTTTTCAGAATACACTGTTCATGAATCTTCTTCACTGAAGCTCCGTTAATCAGTATTTACATTATTTAAGTATAATACTTCAAAGTATTTAAGTACCTCAAAGTATTTAAGTATCTGTAAGCTCTGTTTTCATTGTTTTGGTTTTCAGGCCTGCAACTTTACTGTTTACTGCTCTTTTAATATACAACTAATGGACATTTTATTAGGCACACCTTGGTAGGGTTGGGCTGTTTTTACCTTCAGAAAGTATTCATTCATTTTTTTTCATTTTTCATGGCATAGATTCACCAATTTTGGCCTGTATTATTATGATAGCGTCACACAGCTGCTGCAGATTCATGATGTGAATCTCCCGTTCCACCAAATACCAAAAGTGCTGGATTGGTTTGAGTAATGTTGACTGTGGAGGCTTATTCGAGAAACAAGTTTGAGAGGATCTGAGCTTTGTAACATAGCACATTACTTACCTGGAAGCTGCCATTAGAAGATGGGTACAGTGTGGTCATGAATGGATAGACATGGCATGTAACAATACTCACGTAAGTTGCGATGATTAAATGATGCTCAGTTGTTACTCTTGTGCCAAGAAAATATCCCCCACACATTAAAACACCAGCACCATTAGCCTAAACGATGATACAAGGCAGGACTGATCCATGCAATCGTGTTGTTTGCACTAAATTCTGACCCTAATGTTTGAATGTTATTGTGCCAGACAAGGTTTTTTCAATCTTCCATTGTTCAATGTTGGTGAGGCCTCAGGTCCCTGTTTTTATTTGACAGGAGTGAAACGCAGTGTGGCCTTGTACTGCTGTAGCCCATCTACATAAAGTGCATTCAGAGATTCTCTTCTGCTCAAATAATCATTGGTTATTTGAGTTCCTGCTGCCTTCCAATCAGTTCAAAGCAGTGTGATCTTTCTCCTCTGATCTCTGGTATCAAGCAGCCAATCTCTGCAAACCCTGCAGGTGGTTGGATGGGAAAATTCCAGATCTCAGGCCAGCTTGTACAGCACCAACAACCATACCATGTTCAAATTACTTAAATCACTTTTCTTCCTCATTCTTACGCTCAGTTTGAACTTCAGTAGACTGTCTTGTCCGTGTCTATATGCCCAAATGCACTGAGTTGCTGCCACGTGATTGGATGAGCCAATATTTGCATTAACAAGCAGTTGAACAGGTGTACCTAATAAACTGTCAGAGAGAGAGAGTTGTTTTTAAAAGTTAGGGAACCCATTGCATATTACATAGCAGCACATTGTGGACTGAAACGAGCCACATAAAGAATCATTTGTTTCCTTCAGGAGTTGATGGAGACATAAAAACAGCTAAGGGAGCTTAAATATGGGCTCAGACTCATCAGGTGGACTGGAGTATTTGTTTTTTATTGTTATACTTTGTTTAATTTATCTTGTTGTCCCTGTTGTCAAAGTATTAGCATAGGAATGACAGACTGAGACCACATGTTCACTTGGTGGGAAACAGTTATTTCTCTCTTCCTCTCAGTCACAATCACAGCCCTCTTCAAAACAAACTTTCGGATGGATTTTCCCTTTGACCTTCAAGAGCTGCCTGCATTTGCAATAATAGGGTGAGGAAACTTTGTGAGCACTTGCATGCCTGCATGTGTTTGTGTTGAAATAATATGAGTCAGCAAGGTTCCTTTAATCTGAGATAGTCACATAAAAGCTGCATCCTTGCTCCTTAACCCAGCTTTCTTTCGTCTTTCAGGATCTCGTGCGGCTTTTTGGGAGCATTCTTCGTTTACCTGAACAGACAGGTGGTTCTCTTCATGAGAAGGCCTACGGCTCTTACACGCTTTCTAACCAAACAGTAAGATCCCCATACAGACGCAGAAACATAACAGAGACCTCCCCGCTGCTGTGGATTAATGTGGCGCTCAGCCCTTAAACTGCTGTGACTCTGGTAGCAGAAACTGTTTCTTGGAACTGAAACCATTTGTGCATTTAAATCCAATTCCTCTTAATGTTTCTCAGCTCCACTCTCCAAACTCATCAGTCTCACAACACTGGTCAGGACAGCAGCAAAGCCTTAACAACCTTTCAGCCAGTTATTCACTCAATGGGGAGATTCACTTACCCTCTGAGACTCAACAGTCAGGGAACATTAGTCTTCACCATTAGAGAAAAGAGAGTAGCAGCATCAAGAGAGCTCTACAATCAGCGCTGGTTCACACACACTGGTTATTTCTATGACAAGACAACTGTAGTCCTCTGGGGATACACTGCTGCTTTTAATGAACTCGTGTGTGTCTCCGTCTGTGTGTTGTCCCAGTCGTTTGATCTATCCAGGTGCAGTGACATTGATCATCGCCACCATCACGTTTCCTCCTGGATTTGGACAGTTTATGGCTGGAGAGGTCAGAATTCATCAATCTTGTTAATTCTCTGACTTTTTTCATGTTCATTTCTGGTGGTATTTTTTAAAACCTGATATGAATCAGGTGACTTTTCACTAAGTCCGCAAACACTAAAACCTTACCTGTGAAAGTGTGGCTGTCTGTCGCATGATTGTAAATTAATAGGATTGTTCTTTTAATGTAAATGGCCTGGAACATATATAATTTCTATTCTTCCTGAATATTTTTTATACTACATGTCACATTTTAGGTTTTTTTATTATGAACATGTAGCGTCATCAGGATGTGATGATTTTGTGTTTATGTAAACCTTGTTTAGGACAATTTTTTTATGTGTGTTTGTGTTTCCTCTTGCAGCTGATGCCTAGAGAGTGTATCAACTCACTCTTTGATAATTTCACCTGGACCAAAATCTCAGAATACCCTGCTCCCCCCGGCCTGGGTCGCTCTGCCGCGTGGCTTCATCCTCGTGTCAGTGTCTTTATCATCCTTCTCCTCTTCTTCATCATGAAGGTATCTCTTCCTCCTTGCCTCGTCCTCACATTGTGTATGGAGTGGGTTTTGCCTTGAAAAGCACTGTGTGCGATAGCGTGAAAAACCTCTGGGATCGGTCTCGATCCTACTTTGATCCTGTTTTTGTGTTGCAGTTCTGGATGTCAGCAGTTTCCACCACTATGCCCATCCCCTCAGGTGCCTTTATGCCGGTGTTCATATTAGGTAAGAGGATTTTGTAATGCGAGTCTCCTGCTGATCTTCAGTTCAATTTGTCTTTACCAGAGTGCCTTATCTCTCTCCTCAAGGAGCTGCTTTCGGTCGCCTTGTCGGGGAGATCATGGCCACTCTGTTCCCAAATGGAATCCTGTTTGATGGGATAGTCTACCGCATCCTGCCAGGAGGTTACGCTGTCATTGGTCAGTCTGTTAACCTTCCCCCAGGTCCCCAAAGGCTATTTGAAGAGTTGTAGATTTAAGAAAAGTTTAAGAAAAGTTCTTTCCTTTTTTGGTGTTTTATATTCTCTTGTTCAAGCTGCAGATTTAGCAGCAGAAATCACCCCCAACATGCCAAATGATCAGTTTGTGTGCTAAAATAAACAAATTATAATTTAAAAAGTCATTACAAAATATTACATTTGATAACAACTGAGTGTTTTTTAAAACTAGATGTACTTTATCTGCCTCTCAAGACCGCTAAACTCTTGACGCTCCTAAAGGTTTCTGATTTACTGTGTCATAAATAGTATAATGCTTTCAAAGCTAATTGATGGTTTGTTTTATTTAGCTGAAATAGGTGTAGTGATTTACTAAAACATTCAACCACACTGAAATACACAGAAAACAGAGTTTGTACAATTCTAACGAGCTTAAAAGTAAAAGTTTCAACAGTCTGAACTCTTTCAAACTTTCTTATAATTTCTTTAAGTAATCTTCAGGATGGTTCCCCTGCCTTTTGTCCCATTCTCTGTTAAGATGATCTCACACTGGTTCAATAATGATGAGGTCCAGGCTCTTCTATTTTCTATCCAGATATGCTGTTACTGCATTGGTGGTGCATTTGGGATCACTTTCATGCTGAAAAATGAAGTTAGTGCCAATCAGACACTTTCCAGATGGTGTTACATGGTGGATCAAAATCTCACTGTACTTTTCACTGTAAAATCCCCAACACCAGTGACTGAAACACAGCCCTGAACTATGACAGAGCCTTGTCAGTGTTTTACAGACGGCTGTAGACACTCGCTGTTGTACCTCTCTCCTGACCTTTTCTGTATATACAGTCAAGCCCATAATTATTCATACCCCTGGTAAATTTTGAGTTAAAGTTACTTTTATTCAACAGGCAAGTTTTTGGTTTTTTTGACCAGAAATGACACAGGCGTCTCCCAAAAGATGATAAGACGATGAAGAGGCATCGTTCTGGGAAAAAAATAAAATAAAATAACAAAATAAAAAACTTGCTGGTTGAATAAAAGTACATTTAAGTTGACTGTACAGATGATGATTTGACCCAAAAATTTCAATTTGGATTCATCAGTTTCATATATCTCAGCCTTTTCTACCCGTTTCCCTTCCTTAATAATGGCTTCTTGATAGCCATCCTTCCTCTGTGTCCATTTTTGCTTCGGTGAACAGAAGATGATCAGCTGAAGGGCATGAAGGACATTTATCAGGTCCTGTGTCAGATCGTTACTGAATATTTTTCTCTTTATTAAAGGCATGACTTTGAGATAGACTTCATGCCTGCATTTTTTTGCAGATTGAACTCAAGGTTGCTAGTAACAAAGTGTCTAAAGATACAATTCAAAATGGACTCTTTGCTAAGTTGTAGATAGAAACAGGTTTATTTGGTGTCTTTTTTATGCTTGACTCATGGGTCAGTTTTAAGTGGACTAACAAACAAAACCATTCCTCTGAAAATGACGATGTACAATAATCAGGAGGAATTATATCACACCCCCATCACAGGTGCAGCAGCGATGACGGGGGCCGTCACACATACAGTTTCCACAGCAGTAATTTGCTTTGAGCTCACTGGTCAAATCTCCCACATCCTACCCATGATGGTGGCCGTCATCTTAGCTAATATGGTGGCGCAGGGTCTACAGCCGTCTCTCTACGACTCCATCATCCAGGTGAAGAAGCTACCCTACCTGCCTGAGCTGGCCCTTGGGCACATAAGGTAAAGTTAAAATACCTAAAAGTCCTTATTTTGTTTTCATATCGCTGTCATGAAAGACAACCTGTGCTTATTGTTGTATCCCGTCATTCCCAGCAAGTATAACATCTTTGTGGAGGACATTATGGTGCGCAAAGTGAGATTTCTGTCTTCTCAAGCCACCTTTCGGGAATTAAACCATCTGCTTGACACCACGACCCTGAAAACCATCCCCATCGTCGACTCCAAAGGTAGGATGACCAACATCTTTGCCGTCTCTGTGAGCCATAATTGTCACGGCTGCGGGGGCAGACGTGTGATGAGTGTGAGACAGGATCCAGACGCAGGCACTGGCTTGGAAGTGAGCGAGCTTTATTTAACACAGGTGGCACAAACAGAGCGAGTAAAGCAAAACCTCAAGGTGACTTAAACTGGGAATGACTAACAAAACGAACCTGAATGGACGACTGGGAGAAACACGAAGGGGAGAAACACAGACGGACTAGCAACTAACATGAGTGAACACACACACTATAAATCCACAGAAGGGAACGAGGAAACGACACACAGGAGGGAGGCACAGCTGATTATGATCAACAAGACGAGACAGGGGAAACACAAACGAACACACTGGCATAAGACACAGACTTTCACAATAAAACAGGAAACTCAAAACACGCGCGAAGGCACAGACTCAGAGACGCGGGCTTTACACAGAGACTACACTAGAGGGAATACACAGGTAGGGATGACACAGAACAGAGGGAGCACGGAATTAACACTGGGAGGTCAAAGAACGAAACCTAAAAATCAGAACTACAAAACTAGGGAGCTAGAAACACTAGGATAGAAACCCAAAACACAAACAGTCACAAACCATGATGAAATCAAAAGTAAAAGTACAAAAACCAAAAACACTGGGTCACCGACCCAGGACCATAACAATAATACTTTATTTTGCTTTTAAAAGGCTTAGTACTAATGGGATAGACCAGGTCTATAAGTAGCTTTCCATGATTAACAGTTCAAAATAATTCCTCTTAGCCTTGGTGCAGATCTTCAGTTGACTATCCGTCTGAAACAAGCTTCTGATTGGCCGCCCTCGTAAACAGAAGGGTTTAATCACATGTGGGTGGAGCTTCTGTGCGCAGAGGCAAAGCTGTGTCCATGAGATGATCATATTGGGGAGATATCAGCTCCTAATGATATCATATGGAGCCAAGAGTAGAGAAAATTTTAAGAAAACAGCTTTTACTGTCTGAAGCCTGAGCTTTTGTCTAACAGGGATTACTCTCACCTCTTTTTTGGAACCTTGGCCACTGTCAACATTATCCATTGTAACAATATATATATATATATATTTATGACAGAAAATAAGGACCATTAAATTCGTTTTTTACCTTAAACTTATTTTTTCTGACTTGGTGCTAAGCTGATCTCATGTAAGTATCAACAGTTTCCCCCTGAATGCCAAACTTTTTCTCTGTGAAACTTCCTTTTTTGCAGAATCTATGATTCTGCTAGGTTCAATTGAGAGGACAGAGCTTCAAGCCCTCTTGGACTGGTGGCTTTCACCTCAAAGACGAGTCTTTGAAAGAGGTCAAAGTTCACCGGGTCAAGCCTCCAAAATCAGCTGGGAGTCATTCACCTTTGTAGATGAGGAGGGAGGCGAGGAAAGCCCCGACAAGGTGGAAAAATGTGACCTATTCCTGACCATCAGGTGTTGTTTGTTTGTGTCTGCAACCCCCTTACTGACAGCGTTGTGTCCATCAGACCACCACTCCTGTGCAGGAAGAATGTAATGGACCCGTTCCTGCCCCCAAACCTCAGGAGCCCTCCGCCAACCACACAGACTCAGGTAACACGTTATTTCCACTACATACAAGGACAGGTTCGCTCATCCATGTCACTTGTCTCTACTCTGACATGCGTTGCCATACCACATCCCCAGACAAGCGCAAGCTGCCATCTGTCAGGAGGACCCTTCAAAGACTCTTCTCCTCCACGTCTTTGTCAGGCCAGACAGATACTCAGGTACTGGGATCAACCTTATGTATCCATTGCTTTGAGGCTAAACACTCAAAGAAGCAGTGCATCAGTGATCTGCTACTGAGTTGGCAGTGACAGCTAAGACAGGGATATCAGTCCAGCATGGCAGTCTAAGCCAGCCTCAATAATGTGATGAGGGGGGTGGGGGCATAACCTGAAGCTGACCTAGTGATAACTTTTGCAGTAGGTAATACTTTAAAACCAGCAGGGGGCATCTATCTTTCTTTTCATCATTTGGTCTATCATCTCTTTCTTCCTCCACCTTTCTCAGGAGACCACAACCCCTCAGCTGACTGACACCATGTCTCCAGAGGAGGTACTTTACACTATTGATTGCGCAGCCTCATACTCAACGATGGACCAACAAACCACTCTAATTGATAATTACAACCTAGTTTGCGCCTTCGTCTCTCTGCTTTGTGATTGGCTGCAGATCAAAGCCTGGGAAGAGGCAGAGCTGAACAAACCAATTGATATGGAGCAGATACGCATAGACCCCTCTCCATTTCAGCTGGTGGAAAGAACGTCTCTGCATAAGGTGATCATCAAAACTCATATACACATACTGGTTCTGTACACTTACAACTATGACTTATTTTCATGTCATGATCTCTGCTCACAGACTGGAAACGGGGGGAAAAAACTCTTCATAACTAAACTATACTGAAACTATATCCAAGTTCATCTTCTGCCTGAAACAAACTGTTTAGCCTCTCTCCCATAAATGCTATGCTCCCTTTGAACCAGCTTTGTTGTGTGTGACTTTGTGAGTTTTTGATTCATCTGTCCCAGCTTCAGTTTTCAGTTTTTTAAGTGTATACCAAGTCCACCTGTCTGCCAACTGTAGCTCTAAAGGAGCTTTCTGAAAGCTGTGATGAAACATTAGACTCATTTCAGCTTGGCCTAAGAGTCTGAACAAACAGAACGCCCTGTTTGTTCTTTGTCCATATGATAAAACTTTGAAACTTGAATTTTTTTTATTATGCATCTATGTAGCAAAGCCATGCATTTCCTCTTTTGTTGCAGAAAAATTGCTTATGAGAAACAGTGCAGTCATGCAAGCAGAACACTGTCACAGTACAGCACATCTAACACTGACTGGATCGTGTCCTCTCTCTCCTCTCTCATTACTCAGACCCACACTCTGTTCTCCTTGCTGGGTCTCAGTCACGCCTATGTCACCAGCATTGGTAAGCTGGTGGGTGTTGTGGCACTGAAAGAGGTAAAGTCACTTTTTGCTTTTCATTTTGTTTTAATTTATCGGCTTGTTTTTTGTCACCTCTCTGGATTTGATCCGGTAATGTGGCATGACGAGCTGTGAGCTGTTCTGTCACCGCGTGCATCATTCTTTACGCTCTGATTCATGCAGTTATTCCACTAACCGCCCTCACAACTCATCTCGCTGGATGTTCACTTTAATGATCTTATGTTGTTGCTCTGCTTCGTGGTATGTTTGGGTTTTGTTTTTTTTGCTTCTGTGGATGTTTAAACCTCGTTCACTCTTGTAACAGTTGCAGAAAGCCATAGAGGGCTCAACTCGGAGCGGGGTGAGGCTTCGTCCTCCTCTGGCCAGTTTCAGAGACACCAGTAGGAAAGCCAAGAAGCACCAGCCTCCCTCATCCACCACTTCCTCGCCAACACAGGACAGAGACCTGTGGGGGGAGGGTAGCAGAAGGGAAGGGGAGCTGGTGAGGAGGGAGTCCAAAGACGATTCCCGAGGGAAGCCTTCAAGAGGAGCTCCTGGGTGTGACGTTGCTTCCTCTTCCCCCAGCACCATGGAGAGCAATAGTAGCTCCACCTCCACAAGAGGGGCCGAAGGCCCTGCTCAGGAGGCAGCATCCCCCTCCACCTCCTCCTCTACCTCGCCGTCAGCCCCTGCCTCTCCCATGTCAGCCACAAGCCCTGTCCTCACACTGTCCTCCCTGCAGGAGGAGAGGGAGAGCGAGGACTCTGATGAGCCCATTTAGGAGAAGTGGCTTTCAAGAAGAAAAACTTTTACCTTCTTTTAATGTCACTCCTTTTCCGAAAAGACAAAGCTGCAGTTTAGATGGAGGAGTCAAAGCCACCTGCGGCTGTCACAGACATTCAGCTCTCGGTGGGCAGGAGGAACTGGTGCACACAAAGCTCAAGAAACTTTTAGTACAGGATATTTTTTTCTATTCTGATGATAGTTTCACTTTTCCACTCTTTAAAATCTCAGGTGCTTTCCCATGTCTTCTGAACTGCTGACAACCGTTTCACTGAAGTTCAATCTTCCAAGCGTATCTCTGAAATGCCGAAAACAGCTGATTTTCACATGTATTAAGATCTGTTAATGTCATTAAAGGTATAATATGCAGCAATGGTCAGTTATTGTAAACTTGGCCTTGAGAATGAGGATGGAGGGAACAGCTTTAGCAAGAAAAAAAGCAATGAAGCATAAAATTGTTTTACAATGATTGAGTTCTGAAGCAGAAATCACACAAGTCAGCAGGGAAGGTGCTGCATTTCTTAATTTAGTGTGAATTAGGTGTGGCTCTAGGCTATAAACTGGTGTTGACAATGACTATAACACGTATGATAACATTACCAGATAACATTGCATTAATACTTTCTGTAGTTTTTAAGTAGCTACTGCCCAGTGTGTGACACTGGAAACCATAAAAACATGAGTGCCAGTCAGTAGTAGTTATTCCAGTCTAATTATTAAAATTTCTTTCTTATTTTGGATATTGGTGTAATGAAAACATGCAATGAAAACTAACATCACAACAGCTCTTTTATAATATTTATGAGGAAAGAAATAGAGGCAGTGATGTAATCCCGCCCTCCTGTTGTTATTAGCTGGGGGCTACACAATCATTGCCCAATGCTTGCAACCCAGGAATGTACAGAAAACAGGAAAAACAGAATATATTAAATCAGTCTGTGCAGATAAATACAACAGTAAAGGAAAACTGAGAGATTTTACTGTTTTAGGAAAATCCTGCATATTATACCTTTAAGTACCTGTAGGGTAGCTGACAGTAAAGAATTGTATTATAATGAAATAATATAGTGATTAAGACTTAATTAATTTGACTGATGGGTCAAAGAGATCACACATTTAAAGTTTACTGATTGAGGTTAATTTAAAATTATAACTTGTTATAACATGTTTATTATGTATTTTCTGTATTGTGAATCTAAATCATTATTACTGGTTTGTAATTTTTAAAAAAATAATAAATACTATATTTGCCCACTAACTTATTTGAGTTCTTTACTGCTGTTAAATATCTTTCTCAGTGAGGCTGGATGCAGCAGTGCTTCCAGCTAAATGCTAAAATAAATATATTTTCATTTGTTTCTGGATTGAGACGCAATGCTGAAAATGTGGGTTTTGTCACTGAAGAAATATTTAACACATTAAAAAGGAAATGTTTTTATAGAAGGTTGAGATTAGCAGATGGAAAACAAAAGTTTGGAGAATGATTGATTTGACTTTATGGTCTGAAACAGCAATTTTGCAGCACCCCCAGTTTACTTAATCCTGTATCAGCGTTACCCAGGAGAAGATAAAACAACTAATAAAACAAATAAAACTTTATCCAGCTAACTGCAAATCCATTTTTAATTATAAAGAGAAATCTTCTATATTTATCAGGTTTATTTGAAGACACTGTACTCAGATGGTTTTAGTAACATTATCACCTTCAAGTTTAGCCTGAGCTGGCTTTAGTTTAGTCTGTTAGCATGCAAACATTAGGAAAATGTCAGCAGCAGAGAGCAACAGTGTGCTGTTACTGAAGTAGTGTTCTTTAGCACGGTTGTACTCACCTTTAGTACTCTATTTCTATATTATGTCATAGCACTGATCTGTTGTTTGACACAGTTATTGTAAAGCAATGCAATTTTTTTGTCACAAAAAAGCCAAAGAGGGATAGTATTAATAATTATCATAATTATAAGGTAAATAGACAGAAACTTCAGAGCTGGAGTGGACAAATTTAGTGTGCGTGGGGGAGCATTTCTCTCTAACCTGCTGCTGAACCCACTATTTTTTTTAAACGCACAATTTTATCACCACTGACATTTTTCTAAAATTTGACAGACTTTTTAATCTGCAGGATCTGAGAAAAGGTTGGCCATCTTATTGACATTTTGGCAATTTTTGGAAAAAATCTGTAACTTGCTGCTGCATATCTTGGCCAGGTCTCCCTTGAAAAAGAGGTTTTTAATCTCAGTGGGATTTTCCTGGTTAAATAAAGGTTAAATTTAAATTAAAAACTGTCTTGTTGTATGTCACTCCCATGACTTCATGTTTAGCATTGGTAACATTAGCACCTGCAAAGCAACTTCTTAAGGCGCTCACAGTTTTTAGTGTTGAGCTTTGGTTTGGAGTTTCTGGGTTCCATAATGTAGTTATCAACTTAATAATTACTGCAAGGTGTATAGATCACAGATTAAACAACCCAAAGTATAATAAGTTGTTGAAAATTACAACATGTATCAATAGAGTATATATTACATCTATACATGATATAAGCGTACTTCATATTTTTTAAAATACTCCACATTCAGTAAAAGTAAAGCTTAAGTGGAACACAATTATTTATCCACTGAGGAGCATTAATGTTTGTACAAATTAGTTTTGTAATTGTTGGGATATACTACGTCAAGAAAAGGAGGGTAATAAAAAAAAAGTCTAAAAAGAGAACATCTGCATGCATATAAAGATTTCTGTGCTGTGAAGGTCAGCAGTGTGTTCCAGCCTCTGATCCCTATGTGAGCTTGAACAAATCAGCAGTTAGTCCCTATGGAGGAGGCCTGGCTGTGTTAATATTCTCCTGGCATAAAAGTCCCTGATAAGGACTGGAGAGGGATGTTTTTGGAAAAGCATGACAGGCTGGATTACTCTGCTGCCAGCTCCTTGTGACTGCTGTTTTTGCCTGTCAAGCACATGGTCGCAGACACCCACTGTCAGTCCAAAAAAGAAAAAGACCCCCCCCCCCTCCCCCAAAAGCATATCACTAAGCTCTTGAGAGAAAGGAGGTGAACATGTGAGAATCTAATTATTTCCAACCTGTGAAAACATGAAAACATAACCACACGTGTGCACAAGAAATGCCGTTTGTTGGTTTTGTTTATTTGCTCTTTCTCCACCGGAGGAAAAGGAGAGGAGGCAGGTAAAAGGAGCCGGAGGGTCAATAGGAGGTCGTGCAGGAAAAAGAGGGGAAAGGAAGAGAAACAGGAAGAAACAGAGAGTTGACAGAAGAGAGAGAGAGGGGGGAGCACGGAAGAACCATCCTGTGACAGCCATCCAACAAGCATGCATAGGTGGGAGTGTTATAAGTGTTCACTGGTATCACCAGTCACACTGCCTCATTTCAAACAAATCCAATTTTATGCAGACTTTTACAGAAGCCATCCAATTTTATACAGCGTTTTATACAGCAGTTACTTTTTTTGCCAGACACTTCCAGATTATAATTATCAAATTCCCTATGACTGATGTGAAAACGTCAAGTTATTTTTCTGTTTTTTTTTCTCTCTTTTGTTGGCAGTGACTTTTTCCAACAAGACAGTGGACATCTTACTGTACACAGACAGACATACAGACAGACACAAATATACAGAGCAGATACAAAGAGATAGACGGAAAGGAAGAGAAGGAGCAAGGCAGAGGACCAGAAGCAGGTTTTGAGCATCATGCCTGCAGACAAGTTGTAACTGTAACTGGAAGATGGCAGTAGAAATACAAAAAGAGTGACTCAACTGCAAACCAGTAGGTTAACAAAGATGTGATCAGTAAACCTTAACATCCACAGAAATATTTTTGGCTTCTTATTATTTGTTTATTCATTCATTGAGATTTAATTAAAAAAGAAAAAAAAGAAAGAAAGCAACAACACAAAATAAATAAAAAGATAAATAAATAAATAAAAATAACCCAAAGCGAAGCAGTGTCTATAATGGAGTTCATGCATGTTTCCTTGTGATGTAGCTTATTAGCAAACAGTCAAGCCCAAATAAGCTGCGATGGTCAAAGAAATATATATAAAGCATTGGTCTTTCCACCACATTACGTCATCTGACTCATTAAAAAAAAAAGATACTGCTCCCAGAAGGGTTGGTACCCGCGTGAAATTATACTCTGTACAAGATGTCTTATTTTTCCTCCCCACCAAGTAATTTTTCAATAAATAAATTAATATTTGCCATTGCGTAAAGACATTCTGTTTGCAGTTTTGAGCAGTCTTCAAGTTGTTTTTGTCACCTGGCACTACTGAAATTCTTGAAGTTTTTAAAAACAGTGAGCTGCCAAACTGCTCCATCTCTTCTTGGTTTAAAGTGCTCAAAACCAGACAAAACGAGAGTGCTTTACAGCCGTGACACCTACTCTAACTCAGAATTCAGCAGGTCAGTAGAAAAATAAACATTGTCCCCAACATTGCATAAAGAAGCAATCAATAAATAAATTCATTCAAGTCAATAAACCATATATCTTATCATCTTAAAAGTTTCTCACACAATCATCAAAGTGAGAGAAGGTGCTCCTCCAACAGAGAAAACAGTGGTTTTGTAGTGTCGTAAAGTTTTGTCAGTGAGCCATGCACGGAAAGTCCACTTTGTTCACCGCCGCTGTTTAACTCCACGTCTCGCTAGCAAACACCGTCCTTCCTCCAGTGAAAGAAAAACAAAAACCCACAAAAAATAAACCATGCTTGTCAAACATCCAGGCAGCTGCTTCACAGTAAGAACGATGAGCAGGAAGAGACCGATCTTTTCAGCTCCAGTGTTCAGTCCTTATCGTCCGCTCTATTCCCTGATTGGCTGACTGAATGGCAACCTCCTGTCGCCGTCGCCAAACTTTTTCCACCGCCGATGGTCTCAGCGAGTTGAATGCCCCTCAGTTTGATTCGATCACCCAACTTAAAACACAACATCCCTCCCATTTCCTCCGATTTTGTCTTTGTGTTGTTGCACACAGAAGAAGAAAAAACTAAACTTTGCTAGGCTAAGCTGTGAGTTTGAGAGCAATCCCCAAAATAAGGTGGGACCCAAGAGGTGTACAAAAATAAAGAAATCATACTGTAATAGAACAGTTGTGATTGTGAGCGAGAGGCAATTTCTTTATTTACTCAGAATATTTACATATTTGTGACAGAGCTGACACTGATCTGGGAAGCCAGTGTCTCGCCTGCCTATTGCTGGTTACAATTTAGATATTCATATCTGTGTGTGCGTGTGTGTGTGTGTTGTTGTGGTCTTGGTGAGCCAGCAGTGAATCCACTTTCCAACATGGTTGAAAGACTCCCCCACTTGTTTTTGTTTCACAAAACAGAACAGCGCTCCCTTCTCTCTCTTGTGGACCACGGAGGAGGCATCAAAGCAGCACTCGTGTACTGCCGCCTGTCTTCCAGTACATTCAAAATAGTGGTTATCATCCTTTATTCATCGCGATTACGTCTATGGAAAAAAAAAAGCAGCTGAGGGTTCGCGTTGTCAAGTGGCTCGGTTTTGGTTGTCGGTGAAAGCTTTCAGAGCGGAAACTGGGTAACCTCAACAGTCCAAAGGGAACCTCTGATCTGTTGGGATTGCATCAGTGCAAAAGAGATTCACATATGCAGCTCTGTGTTTATCTCTGAGTCATGAAAGCCACCGCTCAAACCCACCGCAGGCCCACTGCAGGGCCACTGTGGCCACACCTGGGATACTATGGTTCAGTGCAAAGTCTATACAGAGCTGTATAGTACAGGTACTCCATAGTACTCTGAAGAAACATGCATACAGAGAGACAGAGTAGGAAGCACGGTATACAGTACAATCCTTATCTGTGCAGGGTTTTTGGGTGTCCAGTCAGCAGGGCGAGCCTGTCCCTGGATTGTGCCTCGGGGAAAACAGCATTTCACTGAAATGCTGAGATTTTCTGGGCCTACTTCAATCATCTGTGAAAGTGCTTGGGTTGCCAGATGTAAAGTATAGTGCATGTGTTTGATGCAATGGGGAAATAAATTTGACTAAACTCTATCTTATGTGTTGAATAACAGCTGTAAACAGAGTAGTTCTCCCACTGGAAATCTCATATCTTATCATACACTTATACATAGATTGTTGTCCTTTTTTTTGTTTCTTTTATTACAAAATTATTGTTATTTTTTTTATTACTTTAGATTTCTATTATCATTATTAGATGATGACAGGGTTGAGTTGCTTGTCTCATAAAAAGCATGCATGTTTCCATTCCCCTCTTTTTTGTCTCAGTGCAGTTTCCCGGTGGATATAATTCACTCGGTTGGTGCTTCTCTTCCGCCTTCATCTGTCTTTTCTTCAGTTACCTTTGGGATGTAAGGCTTGCAAAGAAACAGGTGTCCATTGTTGCATCAGCTCTACTGTTATTGGGAGTCCACCAAATCTATTTCTCACCATTTTGAAGAAATGACCTTGCAACCAAAAAAGTTGTGGTTTTGATACCTGAAAAGGAACAGAGTAATAGAGATATATTGTGTTATTATGCTCATTTCTTGCTGACTCCCCAGTCAGTTCTTCATTTGTCTCTTGTCTGCCACAAACTCAGTTGGCTGCCACAGAAGCAGGAGGCCCCTCTTCTGGCTCTTCCTTCTCCTCTAGTGTCTGAATGAGACCAGAAGTGACATCAGACAACTTCCGCTCTGTGATTGGCTCTGCTGGCAGCTGCCCCGGACTACTGCCACCAGAAGCATCCCCTTGTTGTGTGGGTGGAGTCAATGTGGCCGACTCTTGCTCCATGCACAGTGCCACATCTTCTTCCTGATCAGGGCAGAAAGAGTGAAACACACAAGGTCAACTAGATGACTAACTTATGTATGTGGATAGATTTTTACCTATTGTCCTCTTCAGTAGTGAAAACAAATATTTGATCCCCTGCTGAATTTGTAAGTTTGGTTACTTACAAAGAAATGAACAGTCTCAGGTTTTTATGATATTTTCATTTTAATGGAATATCACCCCAAAATCCAGGAAACACATTATATAAAAGTTATAAATTGATTTGCATAGCATTGAGTGAAGTAAGCATGATACGTATAATCATTCAACCAATCAATCAACCAGTCAACCAAGCAACCAATAACAGAGGCACTTGATCTCAATTATGTGTATAAAGCACACTTGTCCACAGAGTCAGTTTCTTTCTTTCCAGCCTCTCCGCCACTATGAAAAGACCAAGGAGTTGTCAAAAGATATCGTGGATAAGATTATAGACCTGCACAAGGCTGGGATATACTACTAGACCATCAGCAAGAAGCCTGGTGAAAAGGTGACAACTCTTGGTCCAACTATTTGCTAATGAAAGAAATATAAAATGACCATCAATTGCGCTTTTCCTGGAGCTTCACTCATAAGATCTTGCCTCATGTTTTGAGGATGATCATGAGAAAGGTGGTGGATCAGCCTAAAACTACACAGGTGGAGTTTATTACTGATCTGAAGGCAGTTGGGACTACAGTCCCCAAGAAAACCACTGATAACACACGCCATAGGGTCCCCCCTGCTCAAGAAGCAACATGTGAAGATCGGTCTTAGGTTTTCTACTGAACAGTGAACAGTGTGGTCAGATGAAACCAAAACCTTTGGTATCAACTCAACCCGCTGTTTTTGGAGAAGAGAAACAATGAGCCAAAGCCAGTTTCCAGACCTCAGTCCTGTAGAAAATCTGTGGAAGGAGCTGAAGCTTCAAGTTGCCAATGGGCAGTCAAGAAATCTGAAGGAATTAAAGTTTCTGTAAAGAGGAGTGGGCCAAAATCCATCCTCAGATTTCTCCTACTGTATCAGCTAACAGACTGATTGGCAAATATGAAGATCACCGTGACGCATCAAAGTACACTTTGTCAAGACAGTCTCAACTCAAGGCCAACTGTCAAACTGTTTTGAAGCTTGCAATACATAATCTTTCTCTGCAGACCTCAAGTCAATGCTGGTTTAAAGTCAAGGTTTCCAAAGTCCAAATAATTAATTTTTAATGGTAAATGGTCTGCACTTAGCATGCCTTTTAACTTTAGCTGTGTCTGCAGAGCTCTTTGCAGTCATTCACACAGACATTCTGAAGTGACTTGGGGTTCAGTGTTTTGCTCAAAGACTCTTAAATGTAGTCAGAAATCGAATGACCAACCTATCAGCCTCTCTGCACTATAATAAAACACTATTGGGATACATAATAGTCCGTTTTTAGTGGCTGTTACCATTTTCCCCCTTTCCCCCCATTTCTCTCAGTAAAATTGCAGTTATATTGTGACATAAACAAGTAGGAACAAGCTTACTACTCTCTAACAGGTAGAAATGTTAGCATGTTTGTTGACATGGGTGGAAAAGCCAATGAATCTTTTCCTAAAGCTTTTTGTGCTACCATGATACCACTGTAGGTTGTCAAAGTCAAAAATTATATTCAATATATCCAATTGGGATAAAAACAATTATTGTGTTATATGATTGTGTTTTATAGGGGCAGCTGTAGCTGAGGATGTAGAGCAAGATGTTGACCAATCAGAAGATCAGTCACGACGCATCCATCAGAGTTTGGCGTGTCTGTGTGAATGTTAGATAAAACTGCTTAGGTGTTGATTTGTATGAATGTGTATGTGATTGGGTGAATGAGGTTCGTAGTATAAAATGCTTTGAGTGCTCAGTTAGAACAGATAAGTGCTGCATAAGTACCATTCAGCATTCAGTCCATTTATATGGACCAAAATAATTGTGATTACGGTTTTTGTCATAAGGAAGAGCAGCCAATCCTATACCACTGCTTATTCAATGATGGATTGCCAACAAGAGCTCAGCTGCTAAAAAGTGTTGCCTTCTTGAGCTGCACAGCAAAATCAACCTGAAGATGAGGACTTCATGAATTAGATATATAGGTGACTGATTGTTTTGTGCATTAATAAGGTTGCTCCCTGCAATTTTCATGAAAACTTTCATAGCAGTCCCTTTTGCTTCACACCTTTTACATAATTTATCCCCAAAATAACTGAAGTTTGGAGGCCTGTCGCAACTGTGGTTTTCAACTCTCCCTCTTGTTTCCTGACATTTCTGCTATCTAATCTATTCAAATTTTTCCATCCCCAACTTTATCTTATTGAGGCCACAAATCTAATATTTTTATCATCAGTTAATATTGTCATCAATTCAGTCAAAATAATGGAAATGTAAAAGTATATGTCTTCGGCAGGTCAAAAGTTAAAAAATCCATCCATTCAGTTTATTCCGCTTATCTAATTCAAGGGTCAGGAGGCCGGAGCCGATACCAAGGTAGGGTACAACTGCTCAGGTTGCCAATTTTGTCGCACAGCTAACACAGAGAGACAGATAAGCATTCACACCTATTTCACCAATTAACTTAATATGGACGTCTGTGCACTGTGGCCAGAGTGCCCATATAGAGCCCACACAGGTACAGGGAGAACATTCATTTCATTTCATTTCATTTATTTGTTCATTTTCAGGCACAACAAATACCTATATTGAACATAAAATGCACAAAACAAAAAACAAAAATTGCCTGTAAAAGGAGTGAGACGAAGAAAACTTATTAAATCCCACCCCTATACTCACTCATCAACAAAAAAAACAAACTTCCCGCAGCTACGCCCATCATTGCATACAGACCCATCAACAGCCCCGGGCACATACAAGCATCTAAACGGCAGCTCGCAAACAACAATTAGAGCCTTCATAACTGAATACAGAATATATAAATTATAAATTGCATTACCACAGGTAACAGGCAGTAATAACTACAAGTAACAAACACACATACATATACATACATATATATCTGCACACACATGTACATATATGTACATACATACGCACACTTTTTTTTTTTTGGAATCCATACCAGCAATGGTAAGAGAACAGACATTACAGAGCACACTAAAAGCATCATTGAGTATACTGTGACCAGACCAACTGTTTGTAGAGAAATTTAAATCTATGAATATTTTTGCATTGTTTCAATTGTAAACTCAGACTGTTCCAGATTTTCACACCACATACAGACACACAAAAACCTTTACGGGTTGTTCGAGTTCTGGGTAATTTGAATTCTCCAAAGCCTCTCACATTATAAACCTTTTCTCGAATTTCAAATCTAGTTTGTAAATTTGCCGGTAAAAGTTTAGTAAAAGCTTTATACAAAATTATGGATGTATTGTAATTAACCAGATCCTGGAATTTAAGTAACTTTGCCTGAAGAAAGAATTTGTGAGTATGATCTAGATAACCAGCCTTGTGAATAATACGCAGTGCTCGTTTCTGTACTGTGACTAATGGATTAGTTGTATTTTTATATGTGTTTCCCCACACTTCCACACAATATGTAAGATATGGAAGAACCAGAGTACAGTACAGAGTACGAAGTGCATCTTTATCAAGGTATGGTTTCACTTTGTTCAAAACTGCGAGGCTTCTGGAAATTTTGGTTTTTATGTGTCTGACGTGGGGTTTCCATGAAATTTTGTTATCAATTACGACTCCCAAAAATTTGTTTTCACTCACATTATCAATTGGTACACCTTCAATGATAATTGGTAATTCTACATTATATTTTAAATTACCAAAAAACATTGCTTTAGTTTTATTTATATTTAATGATAATTTATTTATGTCCATCCATTTTTTTATTAATTTTAGCTCCCTGTTTATGGTCATTACAAGATCAGCATAATCATCGCTACTGAAAAATATGTTGGTGTCATCTGCGAACAGTATGAGTTTAAGTACTTGAGAAACATCAAAAATATCATTTATGTATACATTGAAAAGTTTTGGTCCCAACACTGACCCTTGGGGAACACCACATGTAATACCAAGTTTCTCTGAATGGTAATGCCCTATGCTAACATATTGTTCCCGACCCGTTAGGTAACTTTTTAACCAGTTACCAGCTTTCCCTCGAATACCATATCTTTCCAATTTATCCAATAATATTGAGTGATTGATTGTGTCAAAGGCCTTTTTGAGATCAACAAAAATACCAACTGCATATTTATTTTTATCCAGTGTATCAGTAATTTCTTCTACTGCCTCAATTATCGCCATTGAAGTGGTTCTTTGCGTTCTGAAACCATACTGACCAACATTTATTATTTGATGTTTTTCAAGGAATTTTTCTAATCTTGAATTAAAAAGTTTTTCTAGAATTTTTGAGAATTGAGGCAGTAGAGAAATAGGCCTATAATTGGTAAAACTGTGTTTGTCATTACTTTTATATAGTGGTATTACTTTCGCAATTTTCATTTTTTTTTGGAAAACAACCGGACTGAAATGATAAATTACAGATATATGTTAAGGGACTAGCAATATTCAGAATAACCTGTTTAACTACAGACATATTTATGTCATGATAATCCATTGAAGACTTACTTTTACATTTTAATGTGATATTTATTACTTCTTGCTCATTTGTAGCTGAGAGGAACAGTGAAAAGGGATTTGATTTTATATTACTGATATTTTCATTTTTATGACACGGGATGTCTGCTGCTAGTTCAGGGCCAACATTTATGAAGAATTTATTGAACCCATCGACAATATTACTCATGTTGTGATTTTCACCATTTGCATCAGTAAAATATTCAGGATATGATGTTCCAGAAGATCCTTGTTTAATTAAGTTGTTTAACACATCCCAAGTTCCTTTTATATTGTTTTTATTTTCATATAATCTTCTTCTATAATAAAGTTGTTTGCTCGTTCTTATAATATCAGTCAATTTATTTCTATATGCTTTATATCTTTGTTCCACTTCTTTTGTTTTTACTTTGATAAACTGTTTATACAGATTGTTTTTCTTTTTGCAAGCATTAATAATTCCTTTTGTGAGCCAAGGACTTTTTATCTTTTTTTTCTTTGTCATGTGTTCGTTTACAGGACAATGTTTATTGTACCACATAGTAAAAATATCTAGGAAATTATCATAAGCCTTGTCCACATCTGACTCTTCATACACCGAACTCCAATCTTGTTGTGCTAAATCGAAATTGAAGGCATGAATTGCTTCTTCATTTATTGTTCGCTTTGCTATCATGATCTTGGTATCTATTTTTTTTAAATCACAGTCACACAAAGTAAAAACTGGTAAGTGGTCAGTTATATCACAGACAAGCAGGCCACTATTAATTTGGAAATCCATGACATTAGTAAAAATATTGTCAATAATAGTGGCGCTATGTGAAGTTATTCTGCTTGGCTTTGTTATTGTTGGATATAGTGATAAGCTGTACATCGTGTCAGTAAAGTCATCAGTGGCTTTTAACCTTGTTGGATTTAGCAAATCAATATTAAAATCACCACAGATAAATAGTAATTTTTGGTTCACCGAAGCAAACATTTTTTCTATCCATTCATTAAAAGTGTCAATACTTGAACTGGGTGTCCGATATATGCAACTTATTATAACATTTCTCTTTTTGTCATTCATAATCTCAATAGTCAAACATTCCAAAATTCCATCAATAGCCATAGACATAGTTGTTACAACATGAATATTCCACATGGGAAAGCCCCATCTGACCAGCAAATCCTAATCCAGGACCTTCTGGATGTGATGGTGTTAACCCTTCTAACAATCATGCACATACTCGCACCCTGATCGATGTCTCGGGGGAAAAATGGGTTCAGTATCTTAACCAAGAACACAGCTGCCCGGCTAGCGTAATAAAACTTTTAAATGTACCCAAGGAAAAGCTAGAAATCCTCACTTTCCTCTTTTTGCCATTTCCCCCAACCATCCACAGCAGATGACTGCCCGTTCCTGACCATGGTTCACTCAGAGGTTTCTTCCTGTCAAAAGGGAGTTTTTCCTTTCCAATGTTGCCAAGTGATTGCTCAAAGGGGGTCGTCTAATGGTTGGGGTTTCTTCTGTTATTGTAGGTTTTCTAGCTTATAATATAAAGTAACTTCAGGTGAATGTTGTTGTGATTTGGTGCTATGCGTACAAAGAAAACTGAACTGAATTAAAGTACTGGCAGACAATTCTTTTCAAAAATGTCAATCAGTATCCCCTCTATTGACAAATTGATCTTAGATTGCTACACGTGCATAAAATCAAACCAATCTTATGATTAAATGATTCGAGACAAAACTTTAAGTACAGTCTGCAGATTTAAAACAGAAATGACACACAGGTTGCAGTAAGCAGAACTAAACCTCCAGTCTGGTGCCTCTGAGAACTCGCTTAGAAAGCTACAAAATCAAATATTAATCACTGAAGAGATAATTTTATGTAATGCAACCCCATGTTCAACTCACCTTGACCTCCTCCTCCTCCTGCTGTTCCAGTAGCGGGGAGTGTTCCGTTCCTACTATCTCTTCACCAGTGGGAACACACAGGCTTGGCTCCACTGTCGCCGCCACACCCATGTACCCGCCGGCTTCTGCCTGATAGGTTTCCATCTGCCCCGTGTTCCACAGATCAACCAGCGGAGGGTGAATTTGATGAACCAGACTGTGGATGGTGCTGTTGGGTGTTGCTTGCAAAGAGTGGTTGGCACTGTGTAGCCTGTGCTCCAGAGACTTGAAACACACAGAAAAGACTAATCAGTAAAATGTGAGGAATGAGCAGTGCGACCTGTTTGCCAGCTTGAATGTTTCATGACATGCTCCCCATGTCAGTATGCAGTAAGCTGACTTTGTTTTCCTTAGGCAACAGAGGTGATATGCAGATCTTTTTGTACAGTATAAGAAATTCCATCCTCATGCATGGAATTCTTTTTATTTTTGTTTAAAAAATGATTTGGATGTGTCCCTTTGGAAGAATGTCATATTTTTGCAGGTTCAGCTGAGCATTTAATGAGGGATTCTTGACAAGAGTGATGACTCAACAGTGTGAGGTGTGTCAGCGTTCACATCAGATGCGGTTGAGTCATTGCTTAGGCTAAAATCTTTTCTATGAAGTAATGCAAAAACAAAAACGAATAAAAGGAGATGATTAGATAGAAAAATGTCGAGTTAAGATTATTTTGTTGAATTTCTATTTCCACAGTCAAGAGCGAATTTCAGACTGAGCATGAAACCCAGGAGGTAAGAGTTTCTGAGAACATGTTCTGAATAAAAGCCCAGCTTTTTTAGTCTATAAATGCTGTGATGTGTGGGTTTGTTCATGTGCTGTACTTGTGCCTATACAAAAGTGAACAAATAAATAAAATAATGTGTTGATAGATTTATTTTACCAGACAGTATTTTATAACAACCATCTCTGATACTCAAGCCTTACGCATTAGCAGCAACATGTAGTGTCTCATTTGGATTAAAACCCAGACGGCGGCACTCTCAATCAATCACCTGCTGTTGCTGATACTGCAGAAGCTGCTGTTGGTGGTAGTGCTGAAACTGTTGGATCTGCTGCAGCTGTTGTAGTTGACTCTGCTGGAGAGTGAACTGCTGCTGCTGTTGCTGAGACAGGAAGTGAGCTGCGGCCTGCCCATCGTAGCCCTCCGTACCCATAACGTAGGAGCCAGCAGGGGGAGACGCCACAACGGAGGGATCGTTGTTGATGGGCTCCCAAGCGTCAGAAGAGGAGAGGCAGTAGTGGCCCTGGGAGACGTATGTGTGAGGCCACACCTCCGCTGAGGAGTGGTGCAATATCTGATCTGCAGGAAATAAAAAAATGTGGCAGCTGTTAGCACTCTTCAAAATGGGGGCAGCAGATGGACGCAGGAACACTGTGTTTTATGATTTTTACAAAAATCCCACTTTTCAAATTTGCTGGAATTGGAAAAAGAATGAGCAATTTCTTAAAATCTTGAAATTACGACTTGACCAACAGTTAAAGCTAATAGCTGTTGAGATAAATGTATATCTGGCTGTTAACTACTCTGAAAAAAACTCAGCTGAAATCTTTCCACACTGGGTGAAAATGTTATGACAGAAACTCTCCAGTATGAACCGAACAGAGTTGAACACTGGCACACCTCGCACTGTTGAGTCATCATTTTGTCAAACTGTATAGTGCAGACAGAGCTTTGATTGCCTCCAGTGTTTCTTACTCAAAGTTGGAGGGCTATAAAGTGGGCTCACAGCCACATATTTTGCCAAGTGTCTGACTTAAAAACGATGGGATCAGTTAAGACGAATGCATTCAGGGTGCAGTTAAGAAAGTCTATTTTAACTCAGCAAAGCACTTACTCTAATTTTCTGCATTCAGAAGTCTGTGCTAAGGCAACATTGCAGTAAATTGCAAATATCCAAAATCACTGTTTATATCGATACAGTGTCTGGGTTTACCTTCCAAAAGTTCATGCTGGAAACTGAAATGGCCTAAAGTCTAGAGCAGAGGTGTCAAACATAAGGTCTGAGGTAGAGTTGGATGTCTCGAGACCCGTCTCGAGACTACTTTTACGTGGTCTGGGTCTTGTCTTGGTCTCGACAGACTTTGGTCTTGGTCTTGGTCTTGTCTTGGTCCTGATCCCTCGGTCTTGTCTTGGTCTCGCTGTCTCGGTCTTGCTGTCTCAGATTGGCATAGAGGTCAGGAGATTTGGACTCAACAGTATCCATGACACACAAGGTAATGTTCGATAATGTGTCATTCGCAAAAGCATCAGCTCTAAGAGCCGTGCTTAGAGAGTTAGAGAGTGCTTTGTAGTGAATCAGAAGAGTCGACTCCCATTGAGCGAGAGCCAGCTCCTCACTTAATTTCCTTTAGCTGCTCAGGTCTCACACAGTGGCTCAGCTATGCTCCAATCCCTCCATATTGTGGCCAATCACATGCGAGGATATAGGATAATATCATTATGTGAAAAACAGAGAGGGTGAGAGACGCGACAGTCAAGTGGAGCGTGCGTCTGTCCTCTCAGTGAGTGAGTGAGACAGTAGACAGCGGTGAGGAGGGGTGTGCGAATGCATCGCAAAGACACATAAATATGCCTGACACCCGTAAACGAAGCAGCATCTGGCTGCAGTTTAAAGACTTTTTTGTCTTGGTCTCGTCTCGACTTTGTCTTGGTCTTGACTCAGTCTGTCTTGGTCTTGGTCTTGTCTTGGTCTCGATAACCTCTGGTCTTGGTATTGTCTTGGTCTTGGTTTAGGCGGTCTTGACTACAAGTCTAGTCTGGGGTCTGTGAAGGTTCTCAGTCATCCAGGTCATCGTGGTCTAAGGAGCTTGGAAAGAAGAGCATCTGGACTTCTTTAAGTTGCTTGAAGTCGTTTCGCCTCTGATCCGAGAAGCTTCTTCAGTTCTAAGGTCAAATGGTGGAGAGTCCCAGATTTAAGCCCCGTTGGAGTGTCCCCCTAAGAGGGACAATTGACCCCCTAATGATCCTCTACCTAATCACACGAGCCAAGGTGTGAAAACGGGTGTAGGTCAGAGTTTCGGGTGAACTCATTGCGAAACCTGGCCCCACCCTATCATGCAATTTCCTGAGGTCAGAAGGCCCAGGATGTGAGTGGGCGTTAAGGCATCTGGGAAGGGATCTCAAAACTGGATTATAGATGGTAAACAGTTGGTGTAGTAAACCACCACCTCTGTTCAAAGATGGCTATTCACAGTGGACATAGATGGCTTCTTTCACTCCTCTTTCAAACCAAATTGTCCTCTCTGTCCAAAATGTGAACACTGGCATCCTCAAAGGAGTGACCTTTGTCCTTAAGATGCAGATAGACTGCAAATGGTCCATCCCCATCTAAAGTCCAGACGCTTTTCTTTCCAAGCTCCTTAGAATAAGGTCTGGGGGCCAGAAGTGGCCTGCTTAAGTCTCCAATCTGGCCCACTGGACAGTTCTGGAAAATGGAAGATTGGCATAAATTCCAGACTTCTGTGTTTTCATAAGTTTTACAGCTTTTCCTACTGGTTTGAAATATACAAGTAAATAAGTAATAAGTAAATAGGAAAGATCCTGTTTTTACGCCATCTACTATAGAAATTTATGACTTTTACAGTGGGTTCATTATAAAAAATTAAAATAAAAAAAAGCCCAAGAAAACAAAAAGAGGACATTCAGTCAATTAACAAAACTTTTCTGTTTTATAATTATAGGACAGTCTGCGCAACGAGCTAACAGAACATTTTCTCTAAATTTACCAAATTATTTCTTGCAGTTTATGGCCAAAGCAGCACTTTCTTGTCATGTAAAGAAAGCAGTGCATTGTTTGTTTTATTAAACTTGCTTACGCTTACAGAAAGAGGAGTTTCACTTGTCCAGGCAACTTACGATCAGAGCGGGCTGTCTGTTGGCCACAATCTAAAGTGAGTTTGACATCTCTGGTCTAGAGAGACGAGACGCTGTAACACAATACTCTAACTACTCTGTTTAAAATTGATTTGCCACTTTCCAACCTCTTCCATTTTCTTACTCATAAATGATGTGGCTGTGTTTCACCAACAGCTGTTTCCTGGACTTTAAGCCTCAGACATATTTGTAGTCCTTTACCTCGACTGGTGATGCTCTCCTGGTTGACCTCACTGAGGTGAGCCACGCTTCCCTGGTTTGATCCTGACTGCGGAGTCTCACCATCCATTGACGACCACGCCAGGAGCGTTGCCTCTGAGATTGCAAACTGCTGCAGGATGCCTGAGGTGAGAATTCAGAGGGCAAGTCAGGATAATTGTTACTAAGACCTGCAGTACCACTCAAGTGGCTGATGACAGTTAATAGGGTGTGAAACTCTTGTCCTCATCCAACCGACCTGCTGCAAAGCGAGCCTCTTTCTCCCCATCACTGAGGTCACTGTAGGCGTCGTTCTCCAGCCGCCGCTCCTTTTCTCGCTCCTGGGTAGTGATGCGGGACTGGAGGACGCTCCCCGAACCCACCGTCGTCATGCCCCAGTTTTGCCATTCAATCATGTGAGCGACACGACCCTGGGCCATGGCTGTGGGCTTGGTCACTCTTTCCTTCATTGTGCGTGTGACACCTGTTTTAGGAGAAAGACCCAGACAAGGAAGGAGCAGAAGGAGGAGGGAGGGTGGCCAATTTAAACAAAATGGGTGGAAGTAAGAGAAATTAAAAGACCAGAGGTTTAGAGAGAGGTGATTAGCCGAGTTGAGGGAAGGAGTAGAGAATGAACCGGTAGATGGGGAACAAAATGGGGGAAAAAACAAAAGAAGAGGAAGGAAGAGACATAAGATAGATTCGTTATTATCAAGTGTGCACTGGTTTTGGGAGGAGGAGGGTATGACGCTATGATGTGATGGCTCATGGAAATATGGATATCCGGCACGGTTCGACTGATAAATTGATTAAAGCAACTGTCATATAAATAATAAACCTTTCAGTGTTGGAGTTGTTGTGTCTGAAATTGGCTTTACCTCACATGATTAACCAGAACGAGTTTAAGTATAGCATACCGTTCCCATTTTTAAGGATCATTTACAACAAAAGCGCCTGATGTATTATATATATTTGTTTTGATGTTAAACAGGACCTATTAGGCTCATTATTAACTCACATTTTAATTCTTGGACTTCACTGGAGTGGCTTTAAATGACTCGGGATCAAAATAAAACTCTCTCATCTTACACTGTGCCTTGGTTTAGCCTCTCTGTTCATCACATACAGTTTCACTTTGTCTCCCCTGAAATCCACCTTACCTGTGAGCCAGCTTTCTTTTGATTGGCTGCCCTTTGCAAACAAAAGGTTTGAACAGCAGGTGGTGGAGCTCATGTGCTCACAGCCAGAGCTGTGTCCCTGAGATAACCACATTAAGGATATCCGCATTCACTGACGTGTCTGAAGTAGTCTGAAAGTGAGCGATTAGAGCAATGTGAAGCCTGAGCTTTTGGCCTGCTGGGATTACTTTCACACACGCTGACCTCATTATTTAAAACTTTAACCATATTTAATATTAGCATCCAGAACTGTACCAGTGTATAAGCCTATTCAAGATTATTTATCTAAAGTTCAGGAGCAGGACCACACCCACAACAGTTCCTTTTCCAGCCGTATTTCTATAAGTGCCTATTTGGCCCATCATCACTTTTTCTCTGCTTGTAAGCCTCTCTCAAAGGTATCAAGGGATCCACCGCCTCAGCGAGCCTGTGGCATAGTTCGTTGCTTCGTTATTAACAAACATTTTCATTCGCATCTGGGGCTTTAGTCCTTGCTAGTGAATATCAATCTATACATTTATCTTTAGAGAAATAAACAAGGATAACCACAATAGGCCCGCCTTTAAGAAGTAAACAAAATACCCAAACGCTTCTGGGATGTTTGAGACTGCTCATTTTCTTAAAATATTGAATATCTTAAATTAATAACTGCTCGTAAGGAAAACATTATCAGCCAAATCCAACTATTCAAAAGTCTGTAGTTAAAAGAGGGTTTTCATGAGCACCCATTATAAGCTCAGAGAAATGAAAAAGGGTTGTGGAGGTGACATTCGCGTGTTTAATGAGACTGTTAACATCACATGGAGGGGAGACGGCAGGAGACGTGTCTTGTCTGACAAAGGTGCATCATGGGATGGAGCAGGTTAATTGGGGTGAGGCGGCTGTGTGGCATGAATAATGAGAGGTTGGCTTGTTGACATGATAGCTTCTTCACACCTCTGCTAAGCTGCGCCGGGTAAACAAAAAAACTCCTCTCTTTCTCTTTATTGCGCTTCGGAAAACTCAAAGCTGCTGAACATACATTTAATTTCCTGGTGCCATGCCACTACAAACTCATATCTGTTTAACAGCTCCATATTTCCACGCGACTAACATGTACTGTAAATCCCTGGCTGCCTGATTCTCTCTGATGGTAGCACATGACGATGGGATTCATGAATAAATTATAGGACAAATCCGTACCACAGCACACGGTATAGCAGCTGGACTTCATTACACTGTACTGCAGTACAATTCACTGCACTCAAATAAACTGCACTACACAAAACAGCTGGATGAAACCAAAAAACGCTGCACTAAAAGAAAGCACTTCACTACACTAACTCTGTTTGACACGGCACTTTGCACAGTCAAAACATCCATACTAATACTTGCTCAGAACAGCACAATTTCACAACCACTTAACATAAAAAACTACACTTCCCACTCACCTTTCCTTAGAGCAACAAGCTGTGTTTGTGTGTGTGTGTGTGTGTGTGTGTATGTGTGTGTTGTTTTTGAAGCTGAATTTGTTCCGTCAATGACTCACGAGGAGTCATTGACGACTGATATCACAGCGTGGAGAGGAAGTGATACAGGGGAACCCATTTAGGGTACCATGCTGACTCCAGGGCCCGTCTGAGGACAGAGCCAGCATGGGGTCGTTTACCAGTTACAGCACAGACACACACCTGACACACCTGACAGAGAAGACTTAGCCAGAGCCCCGATGCCATAGGCGTTTGAGTTCCTCTTGAGCCGGGGCAGGATTGATGTGGTGTCTTCCATAGACAGCTAGAAGGAGAGAAGAGAGAGGAATGGAGGAGGAAAGTGTGGAGAAAAGGACAGCATGGATGGTGTGAGAGGTCACACAGAGACAGTGTGACATGACAGTGTGTGTGTCAGAGGGGTGAGTGGAGAGGACAAGTGATGGAGGTGTTGGGTTAATACAAGAGACAGAATTTGCATTTCCCAAATCTTGATTCAAGAGATATTCTACAAAATAAATATCATATAAATCTAGGGTTTCTGATTGTGCTCACACCAGTATAATAAACCGCAAGACGGACTATACGGCTCAGGAGGTGGGGGTGTCATAAATCAAAACGCGCAAAAGCAACAAATAGATAGGGAGAGAAAAGTAGTAGATGAAGGAATGATGCCACAACACTTACATTGATTCCTTCCCATGAAAATTCTGAACGTCCATGCTGAGGAAGAGAAATAGGAGGAGAGAGGGATGGGGAAAGGAGGAGCAGGAAAGAGTAAGAGAGTGACAGGACAGAGAGGACATTGACATGCATCGGGGTTGGGGGAGTGGGGGAGTGGGGGGAGGACGGAGGGGTTGATTGCACATCAAGCATGCGGAGGAAGAAATTAGGAGAAGGGAGAGGAAAATAAGAGGCAGACACACAGGATTTTCCAGGAACAAGGAAAGTGAAGAGCCAGAATGACAGGGAGAAGGGAGGGGATTAAACAGGGATCAGTTTATATTTGCTTAGTCGTGTAAAGCAAACTGAATACGCTACGGATGAATGAATTTCCTCTTCGGTTACATGTGCTGCCAGAAACATTGAAAGCCAGCAGAAAACTGTGTGTGTTTGCGAGAGCGAGATATCAATAGTGTGTTGAACTGTATCTGATCCTGCACAGACAGGGGACTGAGGCTTTCAGGAGGAAGGGGACATTATGTGTTTATGTGTGCATGTGGTGAAGGCAGACGCTGAGAACAAAGCAGATAAACACTCTCTCTATCAGCTGGACTGATACTAACCGCACTGGGAACACTGGTGTGCTACTGGCTGAGCTGATATTTTGTCCCCTTTACTGTTGATGTACACAAGCGGCAGACAGACAGTCAAGACTGTCAGAAAGCTCCAGGTCTACTTTCTTCTGGATAAATGCAATGCAAGCTGCACTGATGGCACAAGTCTGAAGATCCTTCACTTCAGTAAAGGCATCACTAACATCACGTCAGTGATTACATACATCAGCTAGTTTGCATAAACCTGGGAACATGTAGCCTGGCACAAAGTCTCCCTAAAAGCACCTCTTAAACTCACTAATTAACATTTAAATGCTTAATTAGTCTTCAAATCCCTCTTTTCCTAGATTTGTGTCATTAGCTTATTTTTTCTGGTCAATCTGCAGACTCAACAGAGTGTCACCTGAGAAGAAATAGCCTGTAATTAGAAAAACAGCTGTGGCCCTTCTTTTTTTTTTTGCACATTTATGCAGATTAAACAAACAACATATGGTGCTGATAGTTGGAATTTTCATTTTTAGACTAGTTGTTTTTAGTTAACTACCTGCTGCCTGTAGCTTTGTGTTTCTTTTAAACCTCCATTTAATCAGGAATTAAAACTCTGGAAAGTCATTCCAGTCCGGCCCTTACACTGTCATGCTGTTTCAAATTCATGCGAAGGATCTGCCACATTTAGTCCTGTTCCAAACCAACTATCCTTAAGTAAAAGTAGAATAAAGACTTCCCTCAATACTGAGTCTGCACCCATGCAGGCTTACTAATTACATGAGGTAAAGGTGCCGCACCAGTTTTGTGATGTGAAAAAAAACTCCATGCACTTCCAAACATAATATGCTTGTTATTCTTTCAGTAATAAAAAAAAATTAAAGTGACTTTCATGGAAATTTAGTACATTTCTGCATGTTTTTGTAATTGCAGGTATAGGTCCCAGAGAAAACACTATACTATATATTTAGCTTATAGTAATGTCTCCTCATTGTATTCTCAGCATCTATTTTCACATACTGCAACACATCAAATTTTAAAAAAAGTAATAATACAACGTAAAATATGCTCAACTCGAAGTAAATAAATTAGAATTAGAATTTTTAGCTACATTAAAAATAACAGTGTAATGTTAAATAATTATAGAAATGAATTAAAGTTCAATGTAAACACAGTTCTTTGTTAGTCTTACTGACTGCTCTGCTAGTCACGTTCTAGTGCTTTATTCTCTACACGTCAAGCACTTTATCGAAAAACTACAAAACTTTGTTAATTATCTTCAGTGGTCAATAGAGTAAAATGTAAAGATTATGTAATTCAATTCTAGGTTAAGATAATATAATAATGAGAGTGTGATGAGAAGGGAGTGTTTATAATCTCCTTCAGCTACATCTAGATGCTTTATGTTAATCAATGTCTGCCTCTTCCTTCCCTCATGTAATTCTATTCTTTGCTCCCACTTCCTCCATCACTCGCTCTCTGGTCGTCCCTGTCTCGCTCTCCATTCACAGGAGTGGGTGTGAGGAGAGAGCTGGGCTGCCTGGAGCAGCTTTCCCTATGTTCTTTTCCAATAGCCCTGACAACACTGATATATATGTATAGAAAGTGTTTGTGTGTGTGTGTGTGTGTGTCTTTTTTCCCCTCTCTGCAGAACCACGGGGGCATTCTGGGGCACGACACATAAATAAATGATGCAATCAGTCCACAGTGCATTTGGTGGAAAAGTGAAGGTCTCTACACTTTAGTCCAAAATGGATCCTGCTCCTGTGTCCTTTCTCAGAGGCATCAGCTTTAGAGCACGAGATCAGTAATGCAGCGGGAGAGGAGAGGAGAGGAAAATGTACAGTGATAATGATGTGTAGGAAGTTGGAGAAGGAGAGGAGTGATGCCTCTGCCGTTCTGCTTTGAACCAGCACTGAGGAGTGACTCTGTCAGACAGCTATAACAAGCTTCAGACATCCTAGCAACAGCAATAAGCCAACCAAACCAGCGATTATTCAGTCATCCAGCCACACCACCCCATCTTGGCGAGGGAAGTGTAGCGGGAGCGACTGACATTGCCATGGCGTGATCTACTTCGCTAATCTACTAGCATAAGCACTGGTGTTACAGCTCATCGTGTGGCCATGTTGGTTCCTCAGGTGGTGTGGAAAACAGTTCACTGTCAGAGGAAGTCAACAACACGGATGAGCAGGAGGAATCACTGAAGACTTACTTGTTCCCCATCCTTTTGGACTGGCACGCCATCTGACGCTGAGAACGTGTTGAACAAGAGAGACAGAGAGGCACACAGAGAGAGGGAAGAGGGGGGAGAAGAGAAAGAAACATTAATATTTATTCTTAATTACATTCAGTGACAAAACTGCTTCCACAAAATGTTCATGAAGACATGGTTAAAAACTAATAAGGGAGATATTTTTCTCTTGTGTGCCTACATTAACAAATCATTTTTACACTTTATTTATAAAAGTAGTAGTAAGACCCACCTCCAAAAGAAAACCAATAACTCAGATGAAACCACAAGTGTCACACCTGAATTATAATAAATACATACAGCAAATATATATAAGAAAAACAGTAAACACCCATGACGTGTGTCATCATGAGGGACTCGATACAACCCATTTATCAGCATCCATTATCAGTATTCTTAGAAAGGTTGAGTGCTATTGGGAAAGGCTGTCAGTTCTGAATTATTGCCTAAAATAAATAAATGAATACGTTTACTATTTTCGGCATCACCCCAATGCCCCCAATTTAAAAAATGCATGTATACTTTATAAATCAAATAAAGGTTTTGTACCTAAAAATACACAGCAATCTTTATCCACTAAGCACTTATTGGCAAATGTGTGAACAGATTTTAATGTCACATAAAAATCTGGACATTTCCCTGAATTCCTCTCAGCCTTTTCAATCTCGATGAATCTGGATAGATTTTCCAGGAAAATCCAATCACCTTTAAGTCTCATCCTTTTCTGCTCCTCAGCACCAGCAGTGCGTAAAACTGGTGAGAATCACCTTAGAAATACAATCTGATAATGTCAACAAATAGAGGCTCACTGCACAGTGGATTCCAATACACACCACACAAAAAACAAACACACAAAATCTTGTGATTCCACTTTTACAAAGACAAACAGATGGCAATGTTTTATAACATATGTATAACACTTTTATAAAACCATTTATGTTCGTCAACCAATCGCCTCTCACAGTCACACATAACTACACGATGTTAGTGATGCAGCACTGATGAGTGGCAGTCTAAATAATCTTTAATTACACCAGTGAGGAGAGTCAATAATTTATATATAAAAAAATGATATAAACAGAGGGTTTAATGGCTGTTTGTAACCAAGAAATTGAATTGACAATTGTTTTAGGAATATATTTATAAATACGTATATTTTTTTTTTACATATTCTGTACTTTCTTTATGTTTGGTGATGTATTAATTAATTAAAGGACGGATATTAATAAATATCAAGGAGAATAACAGCATATCTCTGAGTCCGTGCTGCCATTTCACTTGAATCTAACAGGGCGTGCTCCACTTATGTAGGCTAACTAACCTCATTAAGGTGTTAGCCCTTAATGAAGGACGCCTTGGACATCTCTGTGCTGTGTCAGACACCATAACATTGAAATCTTGCAAAGAGATGTGACCAAGCCAGCTGTTCTCATTGGGGTGAATCACGGTTAGTAACATTTTCAATCCACATGGATATTCACGCATAAGACAAATAGTGCACTAAAAAAGGAAATATATATAGTAAATATTAGCCCCATTAATGATACGAAGAGAAACAGAAAGTTCTTGATTTTTGTACCCAAGCCTGTACAATAAATAAACACCTTTATTACCGGAAGTTAGTATGGCTGAGAAAAATACTGCTCAGCCACAGCATATACTTACCTCTGTGTCATTAAGGCTGTAAACACGATATCTCAAAAAGCTTTGAACTCATCCTGATTAAACTTTGTAGGGGTGTAGAGTGAGGTCATGTTAACGATCCATTAAAATTTGGTTTACATCTATTGAGGTGTTCAAGTTCAACTTAATGATTTGTTGGTCATAAATAAACAAAAAGCGTCATAACTGAGAAACCATGGTTCTTAAAAGTGTGGTGTGTGTTGCAAACATATAGAAAGTACCTTATAAAGATTTGAACTATCATAACACATTTAACCTCTGACCTCTCCTTCAAGGTCAATAGATTGCGCTGAAGGTCAAAGTGATAACAATGCTCTATAGAGTTATTTAAAAGTGTTTCTTACTGGCATGTAGTCACATCACTTGCTTTGGACCTCTGACCTCTTCTTCAAGGTCAAATAAGGTCAAACATTTTTAAAACTATGTTTAAAATTCTACCGCCTTTGTTAGTATTGACAGCATTTAGGAAGTGATACAGGTACATGTGGATTCTAAATATAACTTTATTGTTTGCATGTAAATATCATGTCATATTTGACCTGTGACCTCACTTTTACATTTCACAGCTGCCTTTCTTTCAAGCTGACCCCAGAATGTGTTACATCTTTAAAGAGATCATCAGGAGAAAGAGCTGCCTACTTCTACTGCTATTACCCATCCACTACTCCTGCATAATGTTTGCGTTATAAAAGTAAATATCTGTCATGCAATCCTCATGTGATTTTTATTGCACTCCAAACTTCTTAAAGTATGTTTAAAAAGATAAAGAAAACAAAATTAATATATAAAAAACACGTTACAATTCCTTTAAAAGTAAATATTGCCGAGAGAGTGAGCTGCAATGGTGAAGTTTTCCAGCTGAGTGCTTCTTGTCTTACATATACAGTCGGACTACAGTAACAATGTACCTTTAGTAACTTATCAACATGACTTCAGTCGGTTCTGTTCATTGTTATGCATTATCACTGCTTTGCCTAGTATGTTAGCCCAGGCCTACATACCTAGCATTAGTGCAAGCAACAGGATGCTGACTGCAGCTCACTTAGTGGCCACAACAAGAGCTACTACACAATGACCTTAAAATGTAATTACCTTCATTCGGCATTCATGGCAACACATTCAACAAACCAACATATTCCTCCTTTTTTTAAAGCCTTTAAGTGTTCATGGTGAAGCAGACTGGAGTAAATAAAAGATTTTTCTCCCAAGTTTGACTCTTGGCTGAACCCGTTAAGCTGTCATTAAAATTTTGTTATTCTGCATTTCAGACCTGGTCAGTCTACTATGCTTCAATCAAGACCATTACCTCCTTGTTTAGCTGAGAGCTTCTATCAGCCCCCTGCAGGTTTTACTCTCAAATCACTAGAATGCAAACCAGTGCTGGAGAGCAACAGAGGAAATTTAATCAGTGATTGTATTTTGGTCAAATTCTGAAGTATACTAGAGAGGAAACAACACCACTGCATCAATCTGCAATCTTAACTTGTAGTTAACTGTACTGAAAAATGACATTTGAAAGCTGATTAATCTATTTGTGGTCATGCAGTTTCTAACATACTTTAACTGCATCTTGTTAAGTAAACTTTTGAACATTTACATAAGTAAGATTTCATATCGCAGACTTCTAATAGTCTACTTTGCTTCTATTGTGTTCCTATAAAACTGATAAATATTGACGCCTGCGTCACACTTAGCAATGTACTGCTTAAAATGGCAGATCAAATACAAAGCTGTCCACCCTGCATATTGTAGGTGTAACTTGTGTGAAATACACCCTCTCTGTTGGATAAATGAACGTTATTATCCCTCCTCGTTCCTGGTTGTCCAAATCCTAATTAAAACATTGGTTTAATTAGAGAGTCGTTGGCGGTAATGGAGTTTAAACATGGCCTCAGTCTCTAGGTGCTCCTCTGTATCAGAGGGTCTGTGCTCTGTGTGTACAACTCTCAGAGGGGCTTACTCCTGTATCAGCACACTGTGAGTCTGCGTATGTGTCTGAGTTTGCGTGTTTGTGTGTTGCTGAGCCAGTCGCGGTTCTCAACAGCTGCATTTGGCAATCATGAGCGATTCCTCGGGAGCTCTGAAAAAAAAAAAACACAGAGAGTTGTTGGCTCTCTAGATGTCCAGTGATGTCTGTGACCCACTGACCCAGTGATTCAGAAACATCAGCTCTGGTCTGTCTCTGTTGGGCTCTCAGATATTACCCTTCCCTCTGAACTCCATCCAGTCACATCAAATCACTGCAAGGGCAGTGGACAAGGGACAGGCTTCATTCCAGAAATTGGCCCTCTTTGCTCAGCAGGAAGGGATGTGCATATTTCTTTGGACACAGGAATCACACTCATTTCAGTGGGAATTTTGGGTAAAGTATTGGCATATATCATAAGTCTGTAGGTTTTAATATATTTAAAGTGTTTCTTCCAGGAGAGACTGTGTTTTATCATCCTGTTTTCTTCGACCCAGTTTTCCTCAACCATCCAAAGTTTTTTTTGCTTTTGTTCCTCTTAATACCTCAGGACATCTTCACAGGAGATGTGTGACGTTACTGTATGTATAAATAGCTGCTTGGATAGTTATTACTGGATTAAATTCACCTAAGGGACATTGAAAGTGATGCCTATAGTTTAGGTCTGAAGGTAAAATTACAAGGAGTTTGTTAACAGTTGTATCTCAGCCTGGACATGGTGATTAAATAAACATTTTTTTAAACTTAACAATGTTTAAATGAAGAGTCAAACAAATACCAATATGGCAACTCATAAGTTAGACTGCTGGCTTGATGTGTAACCAGTGGTGATCCATGCCACAATTTTGATTTCCTCCTGCCTGTCAGTGTTTACAAGTGCAGAAAAACACAGAGAATACATTTTGGAAAGTGCGATTTCTTTTTTGTTCTCCACACTGACTGTTTACCTGCATGCAAGCAAAGCGTGCTCAAACATGATTATCATGCAGCGTGTTTGCTATTGACCAAACTACAGACTCTGTAAACGCTACATGATTGTACATATGCAAATACTAAATAGGCTATTTATTTTTCTGCTGTCTTCACTGTGCGATCGTAAACATACAGTTATGGATCTGACTATAATTTTACTTTGATAATACTTTGTGTAAAATTTCAGTTTGGTCACTCGGCTCCAAAGACAGGAAGTTGAATTCTGGCATAATGACTAGAACTGATGAGCTAATATGACTTAAACTGTGGATGAATGTCAGACACAGGGATGAACCCTTTCCTAGTGACACATGTGAGCCACATAAAACATTTCCACTGATGATCACAGTATCTAAATCTTCTGATTATGTTTAAATG